GATAGGCCCGTTTGCCATACGCTATTTGCCGAGGGAAAGAGGACCTGTTTGAATGTTGTTTGCTCAGTTGAACAGAGCCGCTACGAATCACTAAATAGGCATTAGCATGAATGGGATAAACTTGTAAATGAAGATTTAGCGTGGCAATTTTCATTAAAACTCGCCTCTAGGACTTTAATGTATTAGCATAAGGGCTGACTATCACGAATCATTTTATGTAACGACCGATTGCCGTTACTCTTTAGCTAAGCCCTGGACTCTTAATGGTATTTCAAAGGTTAAACGGTTGATTTAGAAAATGATCTTTAGGTTTTATGTTGAATCCGACCAGGTACCAGTTCATGGTGATACTTGGTCTGTTAGACAAGTGGCAGCCCCTTTAGTTAGATAAAGGCATCATTGTGTCCAGTCAGATCAACTAGATTACCTAGGGTGTCGCCCACTTGCAAAACTGTCAAACTTTATTTGACGTTCTCTTGTTCGTGAAACTTCATCAACTATCTTGGCACTGGGCCTATGGCCTGACAGTGGATTTTTTTTCCGGGCGTTTGTTTTGTTTTTTAGACTACGTGAGGGAAATTTGTCGTTGAATGGATGGATGTATGGATGATTGATGGTTTTTTTAGGAATGCCGTGGTGTATCAATGTGTTTCAACCAACGAAAATAAATTGAATAAAACAAGATTAAAGATAAGGTTATTTTTTTTTTAAATGAACATTTTACGCCTATATAAAACATGAAGGAAATAGCATATCACGTCCCTTATGCTTTATGAGTGTAGTTGAGTCTTTTTTGATCATTTTTATCTGCCGATCCTCACTATTTTGGTCTGCCGGATGATGTCTTTACTCCATTTAGGTTTTTGTGGTCAATTGACCGAGTTAATTTTTTCAATTAATTGTTCTTTCTATGTAAGGTCTTGGTTGAAATAAAAAAAGTCAAGTGTCATGAGCGGGATTTGAACCCACGACCTTCGGCTCAATACACCGCTGCTCTACCACTTCGATCCACTCGGACACCAACTTCCCATCCCAACCCCTTTTTGGGGGAATTTTCTTTTTGAATTTGAAGTTTTGAAAAATGGAAAAAATGAAGGATTGATTTATTGATCAATTATTTGACCGATTGATTAAATAACTTCTTTCAATTAATTAATCTTTTTATGTAAGTTATTGGTGATTCGAACCCACGTCCTTCGGCTTAATACGTCGCTGCTCTAACCACTTGAGCTATCGTATTGAGCCGAAGGTCGTGGGTTCGAATCCCGCTCGTGACGCTAACTTTTTCATTTCAAATGTCGTGTAATCAAATTGGATTCTCAGCGACTTATGAAGTGGCCACGGGTGTTTCGTGAAGTGAGGGAAAATTCGAACGGTTGTAGGTTGAGATAAAAAGTTGGTGTCCGAGTAGATCGAACTCACGATAGCTCAAATGGTAGAGTCGTGGGTTCGAATCCCGCTCGTGACACTGACTTTTTTATCTCAACCAAGACCTTACATATAAAGAATAATTAATTGATTGAAAATTGTCTTTATTTTTTAATAATAATTTTGGTTAAAACAAACACTGAATACGGTGACGGGGCGAATGAAGAAATTCATTCCTCATAATTTAAGGGGTTAAAGTGGATTAAGGAAAACCACAATTACTGTATATGAATATCTTTTAAATTTAACTGGTCATTTGATGGATCATACTCAAACGAAACACTTCACTCCGAAAATACTACAAAGTGACTTTATACCGAAAAAAAAATTACTTGGAACCACCATAGGCTTAAAAAGAATATAACAAAAAATATAACCTATAAAAGTGCTTGACAACAGACTGAAACTTTCGATACAAAACAAACGCCTGTTTACACATAGATACTATACTGATTTTTGGTATAAAGTATACTGATATACTGATTTTTCTAAAGCTTTTGATCAAGTAAATCACACAATACTGTTAAGGAAACTAATGGATTATGGTTTCACCGGAACTATCTTGAATTGTTATCCAGCTTTCTCTCCGACAGAAAACAAATAGTCAAAATAAAATCATTTAAATCATGTCCCTTTGCGGCTTCCTCGGGAGTCCCGCAAGGGTCTCATCTTGAACCAGTTTTGTTTCTCTTATTTATTAATGATATCCATCTTGCTCTCCCTTCTGCTCAATTTTTATTATTTGCTGATGATCTGAAAATCTATTCCTTAATTACTTCTCCTTCTGATTGTTTACAATTACAAAATTCTATCAATAATGTGCTAACCTGGTACTCTAATAACAATCTTGCTCTTAATCATTAATTCACTACTTTCGTGGTCCGCTTGACCAATTAATGCATGACAATTAATTAAGGTTTTTAGTTGAGATGAAAAAAAAGCTAATGGCACGAGAGGGATTCGAACCCACGACCTTCGGCTTGATACGCCGCTGCTCTACGACCTGAGCTATCGTTACCTCGATCCACTCGGACATCAACTTCCTATCTCAACCCCACCTTATGAGTTTTTCCTCCTTTTGCCATTTTTCAAATGTCGTGTAATCGGTTTGGATTCTCAATTGAAATGGCGACGGAGAGCTTTACTGAAGTGTACTTCATTTTTAAATGATTAATTCAATTGAAAAATGGCAAAAAGGAGGGAAAACTTTTAAGGTGTGGTTGAGATAGGAAGTTGATATCCGAGTGGATCGAGGTCACGATAGCTCAAGTGGTAGAGCAGCGGCGTATATAGCCGAAGGTCGTGGGTTCGAATCCCGCTCGTGCCATTAACTTTTTTTCATCTCAACTAAAAACCTTAATTAATTGTTATTTATCATTTATATTTACAATTTACATTATTACCATGTATGTACGTCCTTATTCTTTTTATATATATTATTTGTATTTTTACATATATTATTTATATTTTTTGTTATTGTAAAATGTCTGTTTTGATTGTGGATTTCGATCCGTAAATAAATAAATAAATACAACAAACTGATCGGAATTGAACTTTGAACTTGAAGCGTTTCGGTCACACCAGTCCAAAATCCATCGGACCTTCGACTAAAACAATCCAAAAATATTAGACACAGAAGAAAACAAACATTAACGTAATTTTTTAAAAATGGTTTACATCAACCGAGATAAACACAGCATCAATTACACAACAGACACATGTAAACTCAGTCGCAGCTACGCCAATATCATTATTCAAATTCAAAATCGATAACATACATCAGCACATCACACAAAACGTATAATATAACATATAAAACATTCATCACATTCCACACATCAAAAATTTTTACATAGTCTAATTTTTCAACAATTTAGCTTTCCTTTTCCTATTTATCCCGTCTATATAATCTGGCCGAACTATTACCAACTTTTTTCCCTCCGTCGGCTCTTTTCACCTCAAAGACGCCGACTTCTTATACAAAAATGTCTTTCTATACCGACTTCCTTCCCACCACTTCAAAATCCAAGGTATATAAAATAAACATAAAACAGCTCTCACTGGCACTCTCAACACGACACGCACGAATGGCACAATTACGCAGAAAACAAACACTTTGAGTGAGTAGAAATACTTTGATTGAATATAAAAAATATTTTTGCATTGTATAAATTCACTTTTTTCCACATCCTACATGTATTTGTTAAATTTAAAAAATGTGTGTAAATCCCAGGCGCTGAAGATGATCTCAATAAAGATCGAAACGTTGGCTCGATAAAGAAAATGTTTTCTGAAACCTACATCACACCAGACTGCATCTCACGATTTCTAAATAATTTTATTACAGTAAAATAAGTAAAATTCTGTAACTTTCACTAGTTGAATTTTCATTCAATGAAATGAGGTTTTTGAACGAATCATGCAGAGGGTATTACGTGCGTTCAACAGGTAAACCAATAGCATCTCAAGGGTGAAAGGTTTAGCCAAGATTGAGACATTAGATGAAGAAAAACCCCTTTTAAACGCTACCGAGGGAAATAGAACTTATAAATAGAATTTATACAATGCAAAATATATTTTTTATATTCAATCAAAGTATTTCTACTCACTCGAAGGTTTGTCTTCTGTGTAATTGTGTCATTCTTGCGTGTCGAGTTGAGAGTGCCAGTGATAAACATACAACAGCTCATATATATTTTGCATTGTATAAATTCACTTTTTTCCACATCCTACATGTATTTGTTAAATTTAAACAATGTTTGTACATCCCAGGCACTGAAGATGATCTCAATAAAGATCGAAACGTTGGCACGATAAAGAAAATGTTTTTCTGAAACCTACATCACACCAGACCGCATCTCACGATTTCTAAATAAATATCGATTAACGGTCACATCCTTCGGACCATTGCCCAAGCTCCCTACTTCGTTTTGGGTTGAGACCTTTCTAGCCAGACCTTCAAGTCTCATTTATCCTCCAACCTGAATAAAACCCTGGGCCCTCATTCCAACCCTCTAGTCTACCATCTTTCGTTACAAACCCCTATCTTCCAAAACGTCAAAAACGCCTCGTGAATTCCTTCTCCGTGAGGAAAGTGTATAGTTTCATGAACTCAAAAAAAATCCTCTACCGTCCGAAACGTTTTCTAATTATGTGAACTCCCCTGCATGTATAGTCATATTCAATTCTGTTATTTTTCAATTATTTAATAGTTCAGTTTTTGCCTTTGAAAAAATGCACACAATAACAAATATACAATATGTTTTATTAGCAAATTTGTTGTCTTTTTTGACTTAACTAAAAAAGAACTATGTTTAGTTTAGTATCCGTCTTTCATGATGGCTAACCAAGGAGTGAAATTGAATATTTTATGCCATCTGATAACATTGAGCAATGAGGATGTCTTGTATATCATGACTTTGTTCGAAAATCTATCAAACAGCGTATATAGCATAAGCAACATTTTCGTATGAACTTAAGTTCAAATATGAAAACTAGGATAGAAATTATACAAATTAAGTTGTTTTTTGTCTTGCGGACGAAAAAAACTGACTGTGTCATATTTGTTGCAGGTAGTGCTAGTGTTTATACTAAGTATAGCATCGCTGATAATCTACTTCATAGATGCCTCAAGGTAAATATGCTCTAAATATAAATAAAATGTCTATACTGTTGAAAAAGGAATGGCTGAAAGTTTAAAATTTTGTTAGAGGATTGAAAATTACTTACAATTCACTAGTTCTTTCAATCTTCTTTTAATTAAGGTTTTTAGTTGAGATAAAAAAGTCAGTCTCACGAGCGGGATTCGAACCCACGACCTTCGGCTCAATACGACACTGCTCTACCACTTGAGCATTCGTGACCTCGATCCACTCGGACACTAACTTCCTATCTCAACCCGTAACTTTTGAATTTTTCCTCCTTTTTGCCATTTTTCAAATGTCGTGTAATCTATTTGATTCTCGGCGACAAATGAAAGATGAAAAAATGTCAGCGTCACGAGCGGGATTGAACCCACGACCTTCGGCTCAATACGCCGCTGCTCTATCACTTGATTCGTGACCTCACGTGAGGTGGTAGAGCAGCGGCGTATTGAGCCGAAGGTCTTGGGTTCGAATCCCGCTCGTTACACTGACTTTTTTATCTCAACTAAAAACCTTAATTAATTACAATAATTCTTCCATAAAAACACCAAAAGTAATAATTTTACGTCAATAGAAAACATTTTTGTTAATATTTCCCTAGCTTGTAAGAACTACAAACATCAATGAACTGGCCTTTTTCCAGTTATAACCTTCGGTGAAAGGTCAAAATTTAAAATAACCAGAAATATTTACACCATTACATAAATTTACGTTGTTGGGTCTATTAATTGAAAGACCCTTGATTATTCCTACATAAATTTCTCTTGTATGGCCGAACATGGTTCAAATCTTTAATCGATATGGGCACACATTCATAAAAGGTCATATGCTTCTTGAGCATAAATGCGAACTGCTTTAGTAAATTAATTGTAATTCGAGATAAAATTTGTTTAAAAAAAGCGGCATTTTTACGTCACGTCACACACCTCTAATGCGAATTTATATCAGACAAATTTTAAATTTATTAGTCATAAAAATACAATCAAACTGCGCTTTTTTCGTGAAAAGTCTATGAAGTTTGCTAAACGCCATTGAATCGTACTTGATCGCTCATTTACTATAAATCTTCCACTCACATTCACCAAATAAAACTTAATAAAAAACATTTTTGAACAAAATATGTTTCTGTACGATAACAACCATTCACCTATAGAATAATCACTCACTTGGTCATTCATTCACACTCACAATTATTCAATTTCTCATTTATTTACTCAATCACTATTTCACATTCACATTTGCCTCATTTCAACTGCCGTTCACATTCCCTCGCTTACACGCACAGAATCATTTGGCTCATTTGCACTTCCATTCAACTTCACTCACTCGTACACAAATTCAATAAAAAAATAACCTACTCATTCATTAACTTTCACGCACACTATAATTGGACTCATTCGCCCAGCCATTCACATTCACACAATAACTATACTCTCAACTCAAAAATACAGAAATTCTCTCACACTAGCTCAATCAATTATTCATTCACTAACACATTTACACAATAACAACATAATATAACAGGAAAATATTTTTGGGAGAAGAAAATATTGCGCTGTACAACAAATATACAACTACAGAATATCTATTCACTTGATCATTCGTTCACATTCACAACCATTCACTTACTCACTTGTTTTATTGCTCGGCAATCACTTAATATGTATCATTTGCTCTGACATTGACGTTCACTCGCGTACACACTTACAAAAATTCGGCTCATTCACATTGTCATTCACGTTCACTCGCTAAATAAACTCTCCACTCAGTATTACAGAAAATCTCTCGCTAGCTCAATCATTTATTCATTCAGTCACACATTCATTCCATAACTTAACTATTTACATTCATTTAATAATAACATAATGTAACAATAACACACAAACATTTTCTGAGGAAAAAATTTACGCTGTACGATAAATATACATTCGCTCACAGAATAGTTACTCATTTGGTCATCAATCACATTCACCATCATTCACTGACTCATTATCAACCTAGACTTTCTTAATCTAATCTTCAGATTTAGGTAAAATAGCTGCCTATGTAATAAAAACTGAATTGAAAAGAAGTTTGAAAAAGATTTTTTCTTGCCGTTAAAAAAATTTATAATTTTTTGGGAGTTCACATTCACACAGAAAACTATACTCTTAACTCAGAAATACAGAAATTCTCTCAAACTAGCTCAATCAATTATTCATTCACTCACACATTTACACAATAACAACATAATATAACATGAAAATGTTTTTGAGAAAAAATAATGCGCTGTACAACAAACATACATTTACTACAGAATATCTACTCACTTGATCATTCGTTCACATTCACAATCATTCACTTACTCATTTGTTTTATTGCTCGGCAATCACTTAATTAGTATCATTTGCTCTGACATTGACATTCACTCACTAAATGAACAATCCGTTAATTAGTACAGAATTTCGTTTATTAACTAGTTCAATCATTTGTCTGTTCACTAACGCGTTCATTCATTATCGTTTCACATTCACTCGCGTACACACTCACAAAAATTCGGCTCATTTACATTGCCATTCACATTCACTAAATGAACCCTCCACTCAGTATTACAGAAAATCTCTCGCTAGTTCAGGCATTTATTCATTCACTCACATTCATTCCTTAACTTAACTATTTACATTCATGTAATAACATCATAATATAACAAGAACACGCAAACATTTTTCTGAGAAAAAAATTTTAGCTGTACTTAAATTATTTAAGGTTTTTAGTTGAGATAAAAAAGTCAGTGTCACGAGCGGGATTCGAACTTACGATCTTCGGCTAGATACGCCGCTGCTCTACCACTTGAGCTATCGTGACCTCGATCCACTCGGACACTAACTTCCCACCTCAACCCCACCTTTTGAATTGTCCCTCCTTTTTGCCATTTTTCAAATTTTACGCTGTACGATAAATATACATTCTCTCACAGAATATTTACTCACTGGTCATCATTCACATTCACCATCATTCACATGCCCATTATCAATTTTCAACTTTCTTAATGTAATCTGCAGATTTAGGTAAAATACATGCCTATATAATAAAAACTGAATTGAAAAGATTTTGTCTTGCCGTTAAAAAATTTATAATTTTTTGGGACATGTACATTTGAAAAAACTAAGTTCTACATATCGAGCATTTATCTCAATCTGCACAAGAAGTTAAACTGACCCATTTTTAAATCAGAAGATTGTTTTTTGACGAATGTCTGAATTTCAAAGGCCATAAAGTAATTGGTCAATTTTAAACCGAACCGTTTTCCCCTTGAAGTTTTGGACGTAACCTGCCAATAAATCCCTTGAACCGTTCGATCGGACTAAAAATACTCACTGTGTCAAGAATGAAATAAATGCATCGAAAGGGTTGGAACCATGCCATCTGTGACACATCCCTACAACCAGTCGACCGTTATCAAGTGCTGTACCTGTTTTACCCGGGTAGGAAATATTTCAAATACCAAAATAAATTTACAAATGTTTCAAAAAATGTGATAAACACAATTAACGATGACATCCTCATTACAATAATAATGAACGTAAATTACTTTGATATGTAAGCTAAATTTTGCTAATGAAAGAATATTTTTGTTAAAAATTATTGACAAATTTTAGTCATTTTATAAGGGATTTCAATATAACATAAAAGTACGCCCAGAAAATACTTTTTTCTACATCCTACACGTATTTGTTAAATTTAAACAATGTTTGTAAATCCCAGGCCCTGAAGATGATCTCAATAAAGATCGAAACGTTGGCACGATAAAGAAAATGTTTTTCTGAAACCTACATCACACCAGACCGCATCTCACGATTCCAAAAAATAGTTATTTTAGAACAATTCAGCTTAAGTATTTAGAAAGAGCAATAATTATTTATACCAAATGCATTTTTAAAAAATCAGCTGATATTGTTTTATTGTAAAACTTATGATTGGCCGAGAAACTATTCCCTTCGTTTGTTGGTGCACCCACATTTCAAACACTTGTTGAATGGCCGCTGAGGGTGTTTGACCCCAAATCCAACCCACCCCTTGGCGCGCCCTTATTCCAACCCACTCCTGCGCATTCTAGCAGGTAAATTGCTAACCAGAGTGAACAAACGGGGTTGTTCGTATAACTGGTGAAAAAAAGCATCATCAGATGGACTAAATAACTCTAAGTATTAAATGATGTGACTGTGTATTCTTCAAACTTCTCTAAAACGTTTTTTACATAATTTTATAGTCCTAATAAAAAAAAAAGAAAAAACATTTTTCTCAATATTTTTTTAAATATTAAGTTAATTACTTTTGTTATTAAATTTTTGCAACAACTGAGCCTAGGCTGGATGATCTTCGTAATATTTTATTGATTGTTTGGTAAGAAATTAAACCTGATAAGAATCATGTTTTAATTATTATTTCCGTTATTTGCTTCATTTGACAGACCCTTTTAAATAAAACTAACAATAAAATATTTTTGGAAGAATAAAAACCATGAAACTAATTGAAGGATCTAAAATGGAACATGGAGTGGGTGCAGGGGTCAAAGGCTCAAATTTTGACCTAGCAAAACTTCTAAGCCTTGCAACATTAATTTTCCAAACTGAGATCTTTGCAATAGAACTTTTTGCAGAAATATTTAAAAAAAGGATGAAAAAATAATTATCAAGCAGCTAAATAAAACTTTAAATGTATGTTCAATTCAATTAGCAAATATTAAACATTCAATTAACAAAATTTCCTGGGGTGAAATGAAACTGGATAACTCTGATGTGAGTACCAGGAAATGACGGAACTGAAGGCAACAAATAAGCTGACACCCCCTTTGGGCCACAACCACAAATTGTCATGCTAAAAGCAGAAGTGACCAAATGGACGTAGAAAAAATGACGTCACACTGATGAATCTTGGTGAATTCACCGGGTACAAAATAATCGAAGAAATTCTTCATGATCTCAACCAGGAAAACAAACATCTTAAGAAGCAAGAATTAATGAAAATAAGAAAATAATAGGTCTTTATACTGACCATTCTGACCAGGGATTCAAATTACTATATTAAAAAAATTTAAAACAGACAGAAATCTGCTGCCCCTGTCATGAAGAAGCAGAAACATTGAAACATGTCCTTTGTGACTGAGATTCATTAGCCTGTGAATGGCACAGCCTCCTCAGAAAACAGCACAGCATTATCTAAAGAAATAAGCAATGAGGAATCTCAGACAGTTTGTAAATAAAGAAGGGTCAAATCCACAACAGATCTTTTAAGTTGTACTTGATATAAAGTAGACTTTGGTAACAATGACCCTGAAGGAGTAAAAACAATTGTTTCAAGTACTAAAATAAATTATTAGAGGGCAACTTTTGATTATTATAATACAATAAGAATAAGTCAAAAAATTCCGTTTGAATTTTCAAGTTCCTTGTAGATTATAAGGGCCAATACTTTCAAAATGCCTTGACCAAACGGCCAATATAAAAAACAGTATAGATAACACAAAGTGAAATCATTGGCTAATGAATTTTGCTTTTCCTAACAGGAAAATTTAGCATTTATTACTTCAACCACCTTAATTTTGGGAAGTTTGTATTCAGGCGAGAGTGTCTTGCTTAAATATGAAAAATTAAGTTTTAGCATATATAAGAAAAGTCAGTTGATACCTCTAAGAAGAGTATGTAGTTGGGCTAAATTTTTTATTTTATAAAATATTTTACAATTAATCCAAGATTTTTTCTTACACAACTCTCCACAATCTTTCTAAAAATTTACATGCTTACATTTAGATCATAAAATGTAAACTCATCCAATTCAACTTGTATATTCACAAACATATTTTTTGGTAAAAAATTTGGATTTTTAACATTTAAATGAATTGTTTTATGAACAGTGTACCCATTTCAACAATTGAAACTTATCCTGAATTTAGCAATTACTTTAAATTTAAAGCTTCCATAAATGATTTATTTATTTTGCACATAATTGCTATGAATTTAGAAATATCGTTGTTTGCATTGAATAATTTAAAATTGTTATAAACCAAATGCCAGTGTCATTAGCAGAAATGTTAAAATGAATAATGGACAAGTTGCCAAATGAAAATAACAAATTATATTCTTTATTTATAAATGGAGATTTTCTTTCCCTATGATTTAAAATTATTGAAACTCTTTAATAATATGTTTTTAACTTGACCCAATGAAATGAATTTAAAAAAAAATTATTAATAATTAATTGCACTGTTGTTTTTCAGTGAAGAGGTAGAGAGGTGCCAAAATTGGAGCAACAATGTTACTCAGCAAATAGATTTAGCTTTCAATATATTTTTTATGGTCTACTTTTTTATACGTGTAAGTACTCTTGTGCCTAAAAATTTTGTCAAAATTTTGACTCCATGTCGTTAAACGATTGTTTTATTTTAGTTTATAGCAGCAAGTGATAAATTGTGGTTTATGTTGGAGATGTACTCGTTCGTTGACTATTTTACGATACCTCCGTCATTTGTATCAATATATTTAGACAGAACATGGATAGGTAAGATTGAAAATTATGAAATTGTTTGGACTTGTAAATTTTATTCAATTTTACTGGATTTTTTTTTAAATATATATTGTCCAATTTAATGTATAGTAAATTCATATTTTATTTACAGGTCTGAGGTTCCTTCGAGCCTTAAGGCTAATGACTGTTCCAGATATACTTCAGTACCTAAACATCTTAAAAACATCAAGCTCAATTCGCCTCGCTCAGCTTGTTTCTATTTTCATATCAGTGTGGCTTACAGCAGCAGGGATTATTCACTTGGTGAATATCTCTTTTGGTCTTTTATGAAATTTCTCAAATTTTGAGATCACTGATCGGTTCAGGGGAAAAAAACTAACCGATGAAAATTTACAATTCCAGCTGGAAAATTCTGGGGATCCGATGGACTTTGCAAATCCTCAGCAACTTTCATATTGGACATGTGTCTACTTCCTAATAGTTACCATGTCTACTGTAGGGTATGGTGATGTATATTGCCAGACAATCCTCGGTAGAACTTTTTTAGTGTTCTTTCTACTTGTTGGTTTGGTAAGTTTTATTTTTTACAATAATAATAATAATAATAATTTGATTTTATTAGTAGTATAAAATAAATTGTTGCAAACATGATAGAATTTAATCATTTTTGTCTAATTCGATTAAAAAATAAATAACTTAATAGAATAAATTCTATCATGTTTAAAAAGTGACTTAGAATTTATATTTAAATGTAAATTGATCATGCTAGTACAGGAACCATTTAGGGTCCCGTTAAAATAATTATTTAGCTTTAATTGAGGGTTCTCTTGGAAGAAATTCCAATCCTTGCTGGTTAACTTTAAGATATATAATGTGTTAACTGCTCTCATATCACTTTCTTGACAAACTTTCTTTACCAAACTATCCTTTTTCTATTTCTAGGCCTATATGTAGCCTTTCTCTCCTTTAAAGTATCTTTTCTATTTAATTTTCTAAGAGCCTACATTTATTTTCCTCCTGATGTGAACATCAAAGGTGGCTTAAAATCATATATAAACCTTTGCTTAACAAACGCTAACACCTAATTTTTACATTATTATTTTATTTATCTTTTTAATAAAATTCAATCAAATGGCTTCAAGCTTGGTAAATACTATACTTTTTTTAAACGCTGATTTGTTAACTAAAAACATAATACTAAAAATTAACAAAAACTGGATTTATATTTGCTTAACTTTTTTATCTATATACGTACTGTATAGATATATGCTAAATAATTCATACAGAATTCGATGAACAAGTTTTCTCCATTCATTCACGTTTTACAACAAAAATAAATAAAAGTCAACATTTTTATCATACCTGATATTTATACCTAAAACATTTTGAATAAAAACAGTAGACTAGAAATAGTTGGATTCGATCCAGCTGCTATTGTCCATCGACTCACTGATCACCCTGAACAATACCGCCAAATACATAATCCTCATAATTTTTTTTTTAATTAATGCATACATGTTAAATTCAACTTTATTTGTTAAATTGTACGCCTACAAACTTATTAGGATACAAATTTAAAAAAATAATAATGTGTGTGGACAGAATGAGTCTGTGTGAAAAAGGGATCTTTTTTAATTTAATGTTTTCACCTCCAATAAAGTAGAAAAAAAAGCTTAAAATAACGTCACTTGCATGTGCTAATCAGGCACTTTTAGCTAAACCTAGTTTCTTTGAAAACTAAATAATGAATGAATGCTTGGTTATTTTCTTTATTTTGTTTTTATTAATTATTAGGAATACTGAGTAACGCTCAACTCCTTTATTAACTGTATTACAATTACTCCATAAAATCGTTAAAATATGCAAGTGACAAAATTATTTAAACATTATTATCAGTAAATTCACTAATTTCGTGGTCAGTTTGACCAATTAATATATTACAATTAATTAAGGTTTTTAGTTGAGATAAAAAAAGTCAATGGCACGAGCGGGATTCGAACCCACGATCTTCGGCTAGATACGCCGCTGCTGTACCACTTGAGCTATCGTGACCTCGATCCACTCGGACACCAACTTCCCATGTCAACCCCACCTTTTGAATTTTCTCTCCTTTTTGCCATTTTTCAAATGTCGTGTAATCGGATGGGATTCTCGGCGATAAATGAAATGGCCACGAAGAGCTTTAGTGAAGTATACTTCATTTTAAATCATTAAATTCACTAATTTCGTTTGAACAATTAATATATTACAATTAATTAAGGTTTTTAGTTGAGATAAAAAAAGTCAATGGCACGAGCGGGATCCGATTACACGACATTTGAAAATGGCGAATGGGGTTGAGATGGGAAGTTGGTGTCCGAGTGGATCAAGGTCACGATAGCTCAAGTGGTAGAGCAGTGGCGTATCTAGCCGAAGATCGTGGGTTCGAATCCCGCTCGTACCATTGACTTTTTTTATCTCAACTAAAAACCTTAATTAATTGTAATTATTATCAGTTTACAATTTTACATACTATCTGACATTGTAAAACAGTGTTTGGTGAGATCAATCTGTAAAGAAATTTTTTTTTTTTTTAAATTTCACTTTTGATGCTTGTTTTTTTAAGACAGCTTAAAATTGTAAACGTGCACTACATTGATTCATCCTATACACAAAGAAAATAAATAAATTTAAAAAAATTACATATTCAAAGCTGATAGTTTACAATCAATGAAATAACATGGGCAAATTAAAAATGTAAAAAATTCTTTTGTCTCATAAAATTTAAGACAAAATTGATTAAATGTCTCAAATCGATGTACAAACATGATTGTTTAAGAACAATTTTAATCCATGTGGTCATATTCATATTACAATTAATGCATTAGAAAAATATTTCGTTTTCTTCATTATTCTGATTTATATAAAAAAAAAAACAGCACTATACAATGTCACATTATTTCATAACATATGATTAGTGTTATACGTAGAAAGTTTTATTTGAAAATACACACTGCACAATATACACCCATTTTTATTATATATTCACTGATAATTTATATAATTAATAATTTCAGTAACTCAGAATGTTAATAAACGTATTAATATAATTAGTAAATGTCTAATTAGTTTGATTTTGAATTATAAACTGAACATAGTACACAGTTGCCACCTCATACAATCCAAACCAATTTCTTGTATGGTAATTATAAAATTAATAGCTTGTTTTTTTTAAGTATTTAATAATAATTGAGTAGTTGTTTTTTTCAGTTAAATTATAAACTTAAATCACATTTTTATAACATGTGTAAAGAAAAAAGATCAGTAATGAGTCCGAATAATGTCAAATGGAAATAAAAACAATGTACGATCATATAATGTAAATTTGTAAATAAATCTTCCCTAAAATAAATGGAAGATGTTTAATAGCCAAATCAATAGAATTAGCTTATTCTGTAGGAAAATATTTTCGCATGAATTCAAATAACCATAAAAAACGCAACACTTGATTTGTTTCAAATAGCACGCTTCCGAATCTTTTTTTTCTCTGATTTCTCAACTTGCAAATTCATGATGCGACCTATTCTGCTTCAATTTAGCAGTAAATCTCATGTTTTCAGAGGTCAGATCCTAGACTCATGCACTCTGAAGGGTTGTAAGCATGTAATTCTTACTTTAGAATTAGTTTTAATTTAGATTTGTAGACAGTAGTTAATAACACATTTTGAAAAGTTAAACTTTTAGAAAAAGAAGAAAAATGTGTGGACATTTTTTTTTTTAAAGTATTTGTATCTTTGTAATATGTTCATTTTGAAAGTATCATAACTAACTGAATCTGAGATATTTTGTGTGCCAATAGTTTTAGAAATACTGTGTAAAATATTTTCCAGCTTTAAAAACTTCTTATACAAGATAAAATCAAACGACTTGTGTTTGGGTGGTAAGTAATATTTATGTTATTTTAATAAACTATCGATAGTTTTTTTTTTTTGTTAAATATTGCAATAATAAGATATTGTTAATAAGTTAATCTTTACAATATAGTGCGCACAAATGTTCACACTTTTCTTCTTTAGGTTTAAGTATTATGCATAGTTACATCATTTGTATATGATTTTGTTTGTATCTTAAGAAAATCACGTATTGTTTACTAATAAGCATGGTGTTATTTTTCATAGGCAATATTTGCCAGTAGCATCCCTGAGATAATAGAACTTGTAGGGACTCGCTCAAAATACAGTGGTGAATTCAAAAGGGAACATGGAAAGAGGTAGATTTATATTTGCTGCCACCAATATGTGTGTGTAAAAATGTCTAGTATACACTAGATATTACAGTTAATATAATATATAAATTAATTATAAGCTGCATTTGCTATTTGCTAGCTACAAAGATCTTGATCCTATGAACTGCTTAGTCAATGTTTAATTGTATTGTTTCTTCTATATTTTAATTAAGTGCAATGGCAGCAAATATTTAGTATGGGCGTGAGTGTAAGAACAACTTCCACTTTACAAATAAAAAATAAATTTTAAAAAAAGAACGAAAGAAAATTTAACAAGCATGAATCTATGGCATTCCTGTCTGAACCAAAGGTCAAATTTAACTATCAGTTAAAACATAAACAAAAATTGAAAAAATAACACATTTTAACTTGCATTTTTGTCTTCTTATCAAAAATTTTATCATAGCTTTTATTGTTTTAAATATATGGAATAGTGACATAAAAATTTGTTAAACAGTGAGATTTCTCTGCAATTTTATCATCTATCCTCACTGGGTTGGTCTGTCAGACTAAGACAAACATACAGAAAATGAGGAAATGCCAAAACACAAAATGATCGGTAACGAACAAATGTCAAGTCTATCCACAACGTGTAGAAATTGTCCAATTAAGCGTTAAATTAATTGACTCACTTTATTGTGGTTCTGTTATTATCTGAATTTAGTCTTATAGACCAACCCAGTGCAGACACAAAATGGCCAGTTACAAATTGCATAAAAATGTGTTGAATGAAATATTAAAAAAAAAAAATTAAAGTATACATAAAAATAATTTTATTTTAATTGTACCTATTGATTTGACCTATGGGGATCAGCGATTTCTGCTTTATGCCAACTTCATTTCAATTAACGACACTACAGTGACATTTCCCGTTTGATTCTTTTATCAAAACACAAAACATCCAGTTATTTCAATACAAGACCCACCTCCCGTAAATGAGCGATTGAAAACTTGCCTCATACACTCGAAAACTCACATTAGGCTCTTTAAAAGTTATTTTTAACAGTCGTCCTGTATAAAGGATAATATAGTTGTATAAAGCAAGGTAATTATGATCTAAAAGACATTCACTGCCACGAAATATGTGTAAAGCTTTCTTCTGTGAATTTTATGTTATTAATTTTTTCTCTTGTGTTTTTGTTTTATCATGTAGAAAGTTTGCTTACTGTACTGCATGACAAAATAAATAGTTTAAAGTGCCGAAATGTTTAGGAAGCTTTGATTAAAATTTAAAAAAAAATATATATATATAATAGAAATAAATGTGTAAGCTCTTAATCGCTACTAACAAAACTGTAGGACAAAAAAGTACATTCATTCACCCATGCTTGTAGCTTAAAATTAAGTACGTTCAAAATTATTCTTTTTTTTTAATTGTAGAGTCATAATGTAAAATAACAAAAGAATAAAAATTTTAATGAAATAGTTGTCATTTTAAAATAAATAAATGTACTTCGTAACGTTATTTTGGAATATAATACCATGTAATAACGTTATGACAGGGGTAATCACTAAAAGCTTTCAAAATAATGAAATGCACTTTAAGTTGAACTGAGTTCAACAGGTTTTTGTTATTTATTTATTATTCTATCTTATATATTCAAAAGTATTTTTAATTGATTGTAAAAAAAAATGGTTAACTGTTATAAATTTGCACTGGAATTTTAAAAGTTTCAAAAAGTTAACTTTTTATTAAAAACAAAAAAGTAAAAGAAAACACATTAGCAGCATGAGGAACGTATAAATTGTGTACAAGTATTTTCCTGCATAGGCTGTGATGGCTAGCTGGATTCCCGAAATCACTGAACTCGCAGCAAATCGCTCCAAGTACGGTGGCGAATACAAACGAGAGAGACGGAGGTAGCCAAATCGTAGCCAAAAAGAATTTGATAATATTTTTGATATTCGTGCTCACTTAAACCGCTTTTAAGTAATACTTTTATAATTATTTTCATTGTAGATGCAAACAATATTGACATGTGTAATATAATTTTATTTTCTAATAATTTAATTCCCCATCAAAAAAAAAAAAATGCATATTCTTTTGGAAACCAAAAGAAACGTTCAGACATTGATTTGGCATATTAAAAATTATATGGAAATTAGTCGATGAAACTTTTCCACATTCTCCTTTCTTAAAATTGATTCTCAAAGAAGGGAAGTCAATCTTTATGCATCAAACTGTATGATTGTACTTTTAAATTTTTTAAATTACAACTGTCAAAAGTGTATCATTAAATGCAAAAACTGATGGTGCTTTGAAATTTAATAATAAACTGACACAATTTGAAAAGGTATACATTACACGGATGAAACTCGACACAGTAACAAATATAATATGAGTTAACTTATCAAATGGTATTTATGAAAATTATTATTTAATATAATAAAGAAAATATTATTTTAAAAAATGCCACCTTTTAAGCTTCCTTTATTTATGTACATTTTCTTTTTCTATTTGTTTATTTATTTTTTTTTTATTGGTGTTTTAACTCTTCAACTTGTTTCTTCATTTAAAAACTTCAAATTGGTGTTCCTTCAACGTAATTGACTTTTACCTTCTGTTTATGAGAATGTGGAGGAGTTTCATCCACATTAGCTTATTATAGCTGTTTAGCTGAAATGTTTCTTGGTGGCATGCAATAGTTAGACACGAATGCGTTTAGTTTTCCTCAGGTTTCCTCCAAAGTACATAATGCAAGAAATATTTTCATATCAATTTAAAAAAAAAAAAAAAAAAACCCCATACCCTTTCATAAAAGTTAATAATACATTCCAACTCTCCAGTTATTGTAGAAATGCACCAGCTTTTTTTTACATCCGTCACACTCAACTTGCAGATCTGATCTAGTATTTTTGTAATCTCGTTTGGGATGATCGAGGAAGAGTTGACAGTTTCAATACGAAAAGGGGAAATTTAGATTTTTTTAAATTATTTCAGTTTGTTTTTATCGTGTGTTGGATGGACTCAAGGATTGTTGAAACCATTGTGTATTTTTCACTTTTTGTAAATGATCTACTCGCAGATTTTTTATAATCCATTAATTACTTTATCTAGCAAATTAATAGAAAGAAAAATTAAGTGGGGTGAGTAAGCAGGTTTACTTTTTGTAAATGGTTCTACTCACAGATTTAATTTTAATAATTTAATTTTAAATCTGTGAGTAAAACCATCATTTACAAAAAAAAATTAACATTCATCATTTCTATTAATTTGCTAGTCAAAGTATTTAACGAATTATAAAGAAATCTGTGAGAACTATCATTTATAAAAAATGAATTTACATACTCACCCCACCTAGATCATTTCTATTGTATATTTTTGGTGTGATTTTGATTGCAAACATTAAAATGAAACTGGAAATCATGAAAACATCGGCATAATCGGCACTTGTAAATCAGCAAACCAACTTACCTACATTTCCCTCTAAATAAAAGTGTACTCAATTCACACATTCATTTATTAAAACTTCATTAATCAATACTAATGCTGAAATTATTACACAATGTTTCTAATTTTAATAACAATTATTCTTTCCTTTTTCTAAATTTTAATATTTAACACTTTGAAAATAAATTATTTAAATAAAAAAACACTAATAGAAACCAAATAACTAAAACTGCTTGCATATTAGACATACACATACACACATATAGGGATTAACTGGCAAGCGAACTTTTTTAAAAATTGAATGGCACCAAGAAACATTGGCTCCTTAACACAGTATTATTTTATTTTTGATAATGAAAAATAATTTTTAAATCTTTAAGCGAAATTAGTCACATCTAATTATGCATTTTATTTCTGGGTGTGGTTGTGTATGTGTGTGTTGCTGTTAATATAACATCTTTTACTGGTAACGGAAACAAGCCTTGTTTCTTAAAGGTGTGTGCCTTTTAATTTCTTTCTAAAATCTGTGTTCGACTAATTCATCACCATCACAATTTTATTTTATAAAAAAAATCAAATACTCGAAAACACTGAACAACTTTAGGGAAAAATTGTTAATATTTTAAAACAAATTTAAATTTTTGTCATCAATCATTCCTATCCTCCTCCTGAAAATAAATGTAACGCTTTTACTTTAACAGCCCAATTAAACTTTAAATCTTTAACAATGATTACAAATATTATTAAAATCTATCATTTCAATTTCAACAACAATTTGGGATTCCCATATAAAAAATTTAATGTATGCATTTATAATATAAGAATTGTATATGTAATATTAAATTTTTTAAAAAATATATTTGCATACATTATTTAAAACTTAACATGTTCTACTTTTGAATAAAAATAAAAAGGGATTCCATTAAAATGTTGTTAAAAGTAGGAAATGTTCTCCCCCTCACACGGCACTAATACAATTAAATTATTAATAAAAGTAAATAATAGAATTTCCCTTTATAAAAAAATATACTTTTTTTTAAATAAATACATAATCATAAAAACTACTCATAAAAATATGAAACAAGTTTTGGAACCAATTGTTGGTTTGCATTTAGGCGATATTCGCCAGTTGTATACCTGAGATCATAGATCTGATCGGAACTAGACCAAAGTATGGAGGGACACTGAAGAACGAACGGGGACGAAGGTGAGAAAAGAGATTAAACAAAGTTCTTGTGAAATGTGAAGCAACTTAGAGATAAAGCATTGTTGGTTATTCTTTTAAATGTTTCCACATTCATTTCTAGGCATTTAATTTTTAGTTTGCAACTCAATATTGTTTATAAATGTTGTATCATTTTTTGGCATTGGACTAAATTTATTTATAAATTAATACACAAACCTTCAAAGTTTCTTTTTCCTCATCATTTGTTTTCCTTTTGGTTTTCCTACATTAAAATTGATTCCAAACATGTTTATTTATTAATAAAAACAGGATTGTTTTTTTTTCTAATTAACATGAAACTGAAATGATAGTTCTAAATTATGAATTGTTTACTTATTTAAGCAGCATACATATTTTTTTTCTTATATTACGAATACATAAAATGTTCTAACATGTTCTGCAAATCCATTATTCGATGTTGTAATATTTGTATCCCCTTTCTGTGTGCTAATTTGTGTGTGTGAGTGTGAAATACATTTTAGTTTCTTTAAAATTTTATTTGTATTTAAAACCATTGAAAATGTCCTCTACTTATTTAAAACAAAAAAGAATTTATATAATAAACTTTTCCTTGCATCTATTTATTATATCTTTAGGTGAATGCTTTATTCCATTTCAACTATAAAATCTCTTTTCGTGGTACTTTCATATTCAACATGACAATTTTTCAGACTCTCGTAATAAATTTAAAAAAAAAAATTCACACACAAATGAATACAACAATGAATTTTTGAATAACCAACTTTCGGAAGCTTACTCTTTGTTGTTAATGTTAATCTTTATTTTTCTGCAAGTTACGCTAATTAATTTAAAAAAAAAAATTATATGTGCACTCTCCCAATTTGTTGTTCCCAATTTGTTAAGACAATATTCATATTAAACTCACAAATAACCACCCACAACATTGATTTTATAAAATTATTAAAAACTTTGCATGTCTTTTAACTTCAAAACTTTTTAGACTTCTTTATGCACGATATTTCATTACTAAACACTTGTCGTAGTTACTAACAAGTGACTTCGTACAGGAAATATGTACTTTCAGTTTAATGCGCTTTTATTAAATTATTTATTAACATTAATAATAAGGCTTAATTTTTAATTAAAATACTAATGGATATATTTAATCAATGTTTCGTTAAATTTTTTATTTACTTATGATATATAGGTTCATATCTCCAGGTCAGTCACTTTTAATTTTACAACCAACTTGTATAAAAAAAATGATATTTTAGATTGACAATATTGATAATTAATATTGATTTTATTTAAAGATACATTGATTTTTAGCATAAAATAGACAAGTTTGTACTGCATGTGTTTTGGAATGGATCAAATGCTTGATAGTTGCACAACTGATGATAGACTAGTTCACTTTAATTTATTTGAAAAAAATATATATATGTATATCTATTAATAACAAATTGCTTAAATTCTTTCTTGCCATTATTAAAAAAATGTCAATTTTTCAATAAAAAATATAGAATTTTAAAAGTTTTTGCTTAGATAACTGGATTACAAAACAAGATCTATGAATATGCACAAATTTAAAATATTTTTTGAGCAAAAGAAACAAGAAAAAAATGTAAAACTTCTTTTAAATGTACAATTTTTCCAATAAATTCTTTTATAATTTCAGGCATATTGTTGTATGCGGGCATATAACATATGAATCGGTATCTCATTTCCTTAAGGATTTTTTACACGAAGATAGAGAGGATGTCGACGTCGAAGTCGTCTTCCTTCACAGGTGAGAACGAATCAGTTTTATATTAGTAAGACGCATTGAGTTCAGTTATATCACGTTACGACTAAGTCGTAAAGAAAAAGATAATTATTTAAAAATTACTCAGATATGATCATTACGCTTGGAAAACATATATTTCTGATTTAGTCTGTACAATTTAATTATTAGTGTAATTATAAAAAAATGAAAGTCAGTAGTTAAAAATTTGACTGTTTACACATTTTCAAATGAATAAGAAAGCACACTGGATTGAAGAAAAATATATTTCTTTAATTCTAATTTTTTTTAAAATTATTGTGTTATATTTTAATAGTGCAAGTAATATTATATGCGACCAATAAGAGATGAGAACTTTTCAACTGGTCAACTTGTGAAATGGCTCAGTTTGACTAAGAGCTATGATTACTTTAAAAAAATGCATTATTTAGATTAAACATTCTGATCAATTGATTTGTTAGATTATTCAGGTAATACGTAAAGAATTTAAAAAGCAAAATTTAAAAAAAAAATATTTCCAAATTTTTATTGTAGAACAATTGGCAATTTTTTTCTTTCGAATTTGGGTTAAACTTACAGAAAGGAACCTGATTTGGAGCTTGAAGGCCTTCTAAAACGCCACTACACAACAGTGGAGTTTTTTCAGGGAACGATGATGAATGCTGTAGACTTAGAACGTGTGAAGGTAACTTCAGGTCAAGAAAGAGAGAACAATAGCAACGGCACGTTAGCTGCTTGCCCGGGTACCATGTAAATGAAAATAAATTTACCATCAGGGCTGTGTGACAAAGCCTTAAATTTATTTTCAATGATATGGGACCGATTTTTATTTTGTCTTCGCATGAAAAACGGCGAATTTAGGATATGCCGTCGTAGGATTTTTTTTTTCTTTTATTTTTGTGTTTTATATACATCTTCTTCTCGTCACACTAAATAGGAAACCACCAGACTTGGAGCTGGAAGGACTTTTCAAGAGACACTTTACAACAGTCGAATTCTTCCAAGGCTCTATAATGAACCCCATAGACCTTCAAAGAGTTAAGGTAAGTCACCAAATAGAAAATATCGTTCTAAAATATAAAATTTTAAAACAAGGTGTTATTTGACAACTTTTAAATTATTTAAAATAATAATTAATGCAATGAAATGGCTATTGCTCTTACTGAGTTAATTATTTAATAATTCAACTCACTCGGGATAAATCAATTTTTTTCTTTTTTAATATTTTGGAAATTTATATCTTTTGATATAATAATTTTTTCTTTATTAGTTTTAGGATTTCCTAACCAATTAGTTCAAAGCCCACACAATAGGTGTAGTTAGGTAACTCATAGCACTATGATCTAATGAAAATTAAAAACATAGGTAGCCTTAGGACCTTAATAAAAAAAAATTATAAAACTGCTGTGCAAACTTATCTAATTTTTACAAACAAAAGGCAAATTTCTTTCCCAAAAATTTTGAAAGTATTAGTCATTTAAGGAACCTATGTCTGCATTGGTAAGTTTTAACATTACAATTTCACTAATAGTAAGTTATTTTATTCTCTTTCTTTATTAAAAGCATGATTTTTTTTTTTATTTAGACATGTGTAGATGCGTAGAGGCACTTGTAAAATCATAACAGATTACTTTAGGTACCATTTTATGCATATGTTCAAAATCCAATATAACATTATTATAATTTTACTCATCAAATACTTTGGTTGATTTTATAAAACCATTATTGTACTTACTATAATAAATAGCTAAAATTAATCACAACTCACAAAATTCCCTAGTAGACAATACAAAAATTGTTTTTTTATTTATAAAACGCATCATTTTCTGATATACAAATACCAGCCTTTTTTCTGTTTTATTATTCAGGGATGTTAATTTTTTTTTTTTAATGAAAAGCACGATTATTTTCTATTTAGCATTAAGTTTTAATCATATTTTATATATTTTTAAATACATAAGCACTATATTTAAAAATTTATTTAGCTGTCCCCACATAATTGTCTCTAAACATTTGAACATAATAGAATTATAAATTAATTAATTAAATTTTTGGTTAATATTTTTTTTTTTTGTTAATATTAAATATCTTTGTTTTTTACTAAATTAACCCTAAATGCCTCAGGTACATCTCTGAGTCGTATATTTTTAAGCTAGTTTGGGCACAACTATTGGTTTTACGCTTGTCAAAAATCCACATAAATTTCATGCCAGAATTTCAGGTCATGATATCTCGTCCCTCAAGCTTCTGCATCGCATTTCGTGTAAAGTTATTTCTTAGAAGTCTGTGAAACAGACCTGTGGGACTTAACAGTTCAAAGTATATATATCAAATGTTCTTTTTAAAATATTTCAAAATTTGTATCTTCTTGGATTTGGAAATTTTCTTTATTTCCTTACAATTTACGGAAAGAAAAATAAAAAGAAGATGGACTATTTAACTGTATTCCATATAATTTTTACTTCAAAGATTCATGATTTTTTTTTTTTAAATCCTAATGATGAGTTTATAACTTTTTAAGCAGTTTTGTGTTTTGCTCATCGCCTTCAAAGGCAAGAATCTAATTGAGCGGCAAAATACTCATCTGTACATGGTCTGAGTATATCTGAGTGGCATCCGATGCAGCAAGTTCAAAGCCCAGCATAGCCCATAGCGTTTTTTTAAGAAAAAAAATTTAAAATGGACCTAATGGCCACAACACCCAATTTCCTTCTTGTACATTTCTCATCTCTACACTCATATTTCCATCCAATTAACATTACTTAAATACTTTTACATTTTTCAAAAATTAGTAAAATATTAAAAAATTAGTAAACAGTAAATAATTGGAACTGAGCTGTAAATAAATCACATTTAAGAGTACCTGAGGTGTTAAGGGTTGTTCTTTTTACACTTACAACGGTGCAAAATATTTTAAATTTAATCCTGATTGGCACAGTTACACCCAATCTTACTTTAAATCATAATCATCCTTCTTTATACAAAAATTAAAAAAAAAATAGTACAAACAAAACAGTACATCCATAAAATCATTGCATTCCATTCAGAAAAAAAAAAGCCATTGATCATTGATTCAACACTACAACAAAACCCTTTAAACGATTAAAAAAAATATAAATATATGTTGTATTTTTTTCAAAAAACACAATATTCAAAAAGCATGGCTGCTAAAAAACCATAGACTTTTTGTTTGTTTATTATTTTTTTATGCAGTAACATAAGATCTCTTGATGCACAAATTCTTGGTACATCGTATTTAAACTTGAGAACTCGATGAGATCTTTTGTAAATAAGGACTCAAAAAAGCTTTCCTTTAGTTTAGAAAAAAATATTTGTGTTTATTAATTGATAGATTTAGTTTAATTTATTTGCATTTGTAAATTAAAAAATTAAATTATTTGATATTTGAGTGCTATAATTAATAGTTAAATTAAAAATGGAAGTGCTTAATTTTACTGTTCTTTTTTAATTATTTAAATAAATTTAATTTTTTTTATAAGGCACTTCCTTTATATTTCAGCAATGAATAATTAATTTTAATGTTAATATAGTAATGATTATGAGAAAAACGTTTTTCTCACATGAACTGGGTCTTCCATAGGTACATGAAGCTGATGCATGCTTGGTCCTGGCTAATAAATACTGCCAAGACCCAGATGCCGAAGATGCTGCCAATATCATGAGGGTAATATCGATCAAGAATTATTCTGATGACATCCGGGTTATAATTCAGCTAATGCAGTACCACAATAAAGTGAGTAGATTAATTTTAAAAATGTTTATTTGTCTGTGGTGCGATGAACATGAAATTGGGTCGTTACCGGTTATTTTGGTCTGCCTGTTTCAATTGGATAGGATGTCAGTCCCGTTTCAGCATCAGCAGCTTGATTGCTAATAGGGTGGTTTTATATTAAAAATAATTCACTAATTTCGTGGTCCACTTGACTAATTAATATATTATAATTAATTAAGGTTTTTAGTTGAGATAAAAAAGTCAATGGCACGAGCGGGATTCGAACCCACGATCTTTGGCTTGATATGCCGCTGCTCTACCACTTAAGTTATCGTGACCTCGATCCACTCGGACCAACTTCCCATCTCAACCTTTTGAATTTTCCCTCCTTTTTGCCATTTTTCAAATGTCATGTAATGAAGTATACTTCACTAAAGCTCTCCGTGGCCATTTCATTTGTCATCGAGAATCCAATCCGATTACACGACATTTGAAAAATGGCAAAAAGGAGGGAAAATTCAAAAGGTGGGGTTGAGATGGGAAGTTGGTGTCCGAGTGGATCGAGGTCACAATAGCTCAAGTGGTAGAGCAGTGGCGTATCAAGCCAAAGATCGTGGGTTCGAATCCCGCTCGTGCCATTGACTTTTTTATCTCAACTAAAAACCTTAATTAATTATAATATATTAAAAATAATACTGTGACAATATAAAAATGTTTATTCTATTGCCTAAGAATTATCGAGGTTAATATAAACTATCAAAATTTTCTAAGTTTGTGGCTTGATTGCCCCTCATCATCCTGGTCAGCCTATTTTAGCTAGTTTTGTTAGACTAATTTGATATTTCCTCATCTTTAGTAGTTGACCTGAGCCTTATTTTATTAAATTGTGCCCTTTTATAAGTTTGAAAAATAAGAAGAGGTGAAAGGGTTTTATCAGTATTATCGATGAATCTTAAATTCTGAAATCTATTGGTGAAATTGCTGATTATTGATTTATATAAGCTCAATTTTGCACATATATGTACATATTTATGTGTACAGAATCGGGTCTGGGTCAGATCTTGGTCTTATCGCAAAAGTCAAGCTAGGTCATTTTAGCTCCGACACATCCAGTTTTTACTCGTACTCTCTTATTTTTCCCTATTTATATATCATCCGTATTATAACTAATCTAAGTAGGGTTGGTACTGGGGTTATTACTGGGTTACATTTCACCATCAGCCCTCTCACATTACACATTCACACTAATAAATTCATTCACTTTCATTATACCCAAAAGGTAACACAAAACGAGATATTTATCAGTATTATATCCAGTAAAACCGTCCTGTTTACTCTAAAAAGGGAAAAGGTGACTCAAATACTCAATGTTTAAGCATGGGTTCCTACATGCTCTCTATACAGAGCCAATAAATTCAACAAGAAAGTGTGTAATGGTGATTTGTAGAAAAACAAATCTAGCAAGAGTAGGAAGATCGGGGCAATTATTTCCAATATAATTAGATTGATTATAATTATATATTTAAAAACAGCCCAGGAAGTGAAATATTTTTTTAATGTATGATCAGGACAATCAGAGATGACCGACCTACTTGTTCGTCACTTCACACATTTGACTAAAATGTTTTATGATTTTTAAGTTTGTTGCTCAATTCCTGTCATTTTGTATTATAAGTAAATTTGTCATGTTTATTTCCAGGCCTATTTGTTAAACATCCCGTCGTGGGACTGGAAACAGGGTGATGATGTGATATGTTTGGCCGAGTTGAAACTCGGCTTCATAGCTCAAAGCTGTCTTGCACCTGGCTTTTCTACAATGATGGCAAATCTTTTTGCGATGAGATCTTTTAAAACTGTGAGTATGCCTGTGCACATTGTACTCATGTTTTACATATTCATCATTACACTTCATGTGTCATGTAGATTTGGTTCATTGATTATTTTTGATTTATAACAATTTATTGTACGGTTTGGGCAAATATCCTGATTATACTTGGTGGTTTGTATATTTATTTTTATTTTTAAGCCCTTTTGGGGTTTTAAAATCAAACTCAGTTTATAGAATATAATTAATCTTTGATCGGTAAAACAATTAAATGAACAAAACATAGCTAACAAAGAAGATTTTATAGAATGCACGATGTGCTCAAGCAGTAGACATGCAAGCTTGGCAGAATGATTATCTGCGAGGGACAGGAATGGAAATGTACACAGAATCATTAAGTCCTACATTCATTGGGATGCCATTCGCACAGGCCACAGAGTAAGTCATCAGTGAAGTCACATTGTGGCGCTTCATCTGTTCAAGCGGTTGGAATGATTTTGAGATCCTTTTCATTGCTGCTGTAGCCTGTGGATTTGACACGAGCAATCCTTCATGATTTTGTGGTTTTATTGTGTAATAAATATTTGCTATTAGTGGTTTTCATATTCCTCCCTAAGTAAGTTGGATTTGTGTTTAATATAGATTTTGCAATATAATTACCCATTTGTACCCTTTTGTTTGTATTTTGACACCCTTGTAATTTTAAATTAACGCAGATTTAAAATAATTCTTCAAAGGAACAAATGCACCGTCATAAAATTTCAAAAACAAACTGGACTGCAAGACTTTAAATCATTCCAAATGTTTGTTAATAGATGCGTCACTTTGCTGCTCATATGTATTGTGTCACTACACTTTGCTATCGCTGATACTGCAAACCTTAAATCTTGTCCTCTGTTTATTTTCTGTTGACTGTTTTATATACCAGCCAACTATGTCTTCCACTGGTTCATCACATTGTTTGCCAAAAATTTGGAATGTCGGGATACTTTTGTAACTACCCTGTCGCTTCAGTTCATTGCAAATATGCTTATATATGTTAGACATGGCTATAATTTCTTGGATGTTCTTTATATGTCAACACCTGTTATATTCTGTATGAATTTTAAAAATTAAAAAACTGTCTTATGCCCTGAAAAGATAATTCTATATGCGATAAGTGATTGTTTTATGTATGTTTGCATAATTTTATGTTCAAAATTGAGTAAAAACCATGTTGTATTTTGTAAAGGTTAGTTTAACCTATTTAAATTATTTTTCACTAGGACATGGTATTTCTATTCGATTTTGAAAATAACATTACAGTCACTTCAAAAATAAATGACTGCATTTTCTTTTTGTTTTTCTTTTCTTTTTTGTACTGTTTTCTTCCAAGACTTAAATTGGAGCTGCTAAGTTTAAATGTGAGTTTGTAGGGCTAAGGTGAGAACTAAAACCATTCAAAGTCTTGAAAATGTACAACAATCAATTTTTACAAAAGTGTATATTCAGATTTTAGGAAAACCCTTATAAAGTTTATGTTTTTACGTTGGTAATTTTTTTTTTTTTTCGTAAGGATGATTATTTTTTAAAGTTTAATTTTATCAGTATTCCATTTTACTCATTCATTATTCAATTCCAATCATTTATTTCATTTTTTAATTATTTTCTTTTTAAATCTGTGGGTGTAAAACTGACGACCAAGATTAGTTTTGGTTATTAAGAATTCTGTCAATTTGGACTTTGAATGGATTTCAGTCACCAGACACTCAGGCATGGCAGAACGATTACCTTCAGGGAACTGGTTGTGAGATGTACACAGAGACACTGTCCCCCTCATTTACTGGCATGACCTTCCCGCAAGCCAGCGAGTAAGTTCCCTTCCTTCTTCCGATAGAAAGAATACATGTTGATATTTTTAAAACTTTTTTTTTTTTTTTTTTTTTAAATTAGAAGGATTGGGCGAGTTTTTCATGTCAGTTTAAAAAAATTAATTACAAAATCGCCGGTCGTTTGGAGTTCAATGTTGGACTAATCACTCTCCCAATCCGATCAATAATTGTTTAAATAATTTTTAGTGTTCTGACGGTGTGCATTTTAGTTGGAGCATTTATTATTTAACGCTTCCTAACAGATTTTGGTACACATGGCAAAAATCATTAATCTACTCATGCACTTCTTTTTACAATTATAAATCTCTAAAATATTTTTTTTTTAAACACATTCTGCACAATTTTACAAAAATAATCGTTTAAAATACAAATTTAGGTCACAATGATATAACTGAGATGGTCAGGCTCTTGCAAGTAAATTTCTTTTTAAATTAAAATTTTATGTATTATTTAACACTATTGCTAATGCTGGTTCTGTTAGCAATAAGCTGTAAGTACAATAAGCTTTGTAAAAATTCTCGTTGATACCTTTAATTAATTTTTTTTAAATTAAATTGATTGAAAGTGCATAAACTAATTTATTTAGTATTATTTTAAATTTTTAATAAAAAGGCACTTGAAAAACCTTAACCTTTACCAATATCTGCCATGAAGCATTTGTAGAGTACAATCAATCGCACGACCCTTAGTGAAAAGTTTTCATATTTAGTTATCAACATAAAAACAATAAAACATGCTTTTAATTGATATAATAAATTGCATGGATTTAACATTGTTAAGGAAATTATTAGCAGTATTTGTCCGTATTTGGATTTTCGACTTTCACTAATAATTTAATAAACAACACTCATTAATCACATGTATTCCATAAATCAAATCCTTAGTACAATTTTCTTTCTCTATTATTTTTCATCCGTCTTTCTTTGCATTATTGAAGGAAGAGGAAAATACAGGAATTTTTTTCAATGCATGTATCATCCTTGTAACGCATGTGTGTTTTTTACTCTTGAATGTTTGTATACAATTTTATTATATGTGTTAATATTTGTTTTTTAATGTTTTATTATATAAAATGATTTTTTATTGTCAATTATTATGAAAATATTATGTGAAATTATTGTTTTTGCATTATACATTTTAAAATTTTAAAACCTTAGTTGTAAATATTTTAAAATATTACAGTTTATAATAATTTTAACAGACTTTCGCTTGAATGTAAATAATTTTAGAATTTATTTAATTAGAATTATTTTTGATACCGATTTGTTGATACTTTATGTTCATTGTTCATAATTGTGTAATTTTCAGCAGGATTAACATTTTTTTCTTTGACAAAGCGTTTTAATTATATGTTATTCCTTAGGCTTTGCTTTACCAAACTTAAATTGCTTCTCCTGGCAATCGAAATAAAAGGGGAAGACGGAAGCGATAGCAAAATATCTATAAATCCACGCGGTGCAAAAATATCGGCAAACACTCAGGGATTCTTTATAGCGCAGTCCGCTGACGAAGTGAAGAGGTATCGCCATCGTTGACGATTCATTTGAAAAATATATAAAAACATGGAATTTTTTTTTTTTTAGGGCGTGGTTTTACTGTAAAGCGTGTCACGATGATATTAAAGATGAAACACTAATTAAGAAGTGTAAATGCAAAAACTGTAAGTAAACGCTTTACAATTTTTTTTATTGTTTTAATATTTTTTTTAAAATAAAATTATTTGTATTTCAAAATTTACAAGGTCACAATATTTTAAGTGAAAAAAAAAAACAATAAAATCTTTGCTTTAAATCAGTAGTTTTGTATTTAATATTTTATTTTAAAAAACAATGCATTTTCAAAGATGCCAAGCGAAGTACTTTCTACCCACATTTTCTCCTATGCGTTGTTTGAAAAGAAAACATATGAATAATTACTTTTGAATATAATAAAATCATAATGTGCAAACTTTAAATTGTTCTATTTGTTATAGCTTACAAATTACAAAAAAAATATATATATTCATGTTGGTATTTTGTTCAATTATTTTATTTTATTTTGTTTTAATTTTCATTTTTTGTTATGCTCTTCAAACCAATAATTTATTCCATGTTCAATAATTCTGTTCAGTGCAAGTTATACATATATTATGTGGCTTAGTGTTTAAAAAATCAAGTTTTCACTTTTCACTAGTTTCTTTTTTTTCTTTTTTTTTAACTTGAGTAGAGAAATTTAAAAAACAATATGACAGATTAAAAAAAATCATTGCATTAAATTTACTAAATCTAATATTTTTCATAAATATGCCACTGAAAAGTTTGCTTTTTGATTTTTAAAATGCAACCCAAATAATAAACATAATTTTATATTAATTTATCAGGAAAAAAAAACTGATTCTAAAAACGATTATTGGAGCAGAATTTGAACATGGTCTCTTTGTTAAGACAACTTGAATCACCATTGATTAAAAAGGCAACTTATAGCACCTGCAATTTTTAGCTACATAGTTAAAAAATATTAAAAAATTAAAAAATTAAAAAAATGTATGTAGACCACTATTAATGCATTTTTAATTCAGTGCGTTTATTTCTTCTTTTTATTTATTTTATTTTTCTCTCTGAAATTATATATATTATACATATATATACATTTGATTAAAAAAAAATCTTAAACCTCTAGTCTACTTCTGGCTATGTATGCTGCATATGATTTTATTACTAGTCCTTTATTTTTGGTGGATGATGTAGTTTACTTTTGCATTTAAAATGCACCTTTCATATTTAAAGAGATTTCATTGTAAAAAAAAGTGCAACTCACTGTTTTTGTTTGTTAAATTGTTTCCTATTCTATCGTAGAATATAAGTTGCTGTGTACCTTTCTTTGAGGTATGCTTGGTGTACATATTACAATTCTTGTAGATTTAATATTTAAAAAAAAAGAAACAAAAAAATCCTTAAAATATATTTTAATTTTGTTTATTTTTGATATTACCAATAATTCGCTTGCTATATTGACTTTTGAATTGTAATGATTTTTATTGAAGAAAATTTGTTTTTAAAAAAATCAACTATGTATAGTGGAATATTGGTAAGTCTGAATACAAGACATTCAAATTGTTTTTTTGTTTTTTTAAATCAACTGACCATTCCAATAAAGCAGAAGTGGGCATGGGCATTCAACAAATTAACTAACCACTCCTTCTCCAGAAAAAAAAAACTCCTAAAAATAATCTCAATAGTTTACAGAAAATTAATAATTAATAATTTTTCTACGATTTTTGTTTTAACGATTAACTAATTATAACATGCAGGATTTTGCATTCTTGGATGTACTCAACCGTAACAGTTAATTTTATTAGGTTGGCAGGTGATTTTCTGAAATGGCAATTTTTAAATAAAAATTTTATTTATTGTGTTGATAAATCTATTGATAAACTAATTTTATCTGTTCTTACTTTTTTTTCAGAAGTATCTTATTATACTAAATTGTAATATTTAAATTCTTATGAATATTTAGGAGTTGTTCATTCCCCTGTTTCCTTTATTGATGACTATTATTTATCACAGTTTTAGACTTTTTATTTAGTCATTTCATTGGCATTCTATACATTTGTCCTGCACATTTCTTTTCACATTGATTTACATCAGCCTTGATATTATAATTGTATATAGAAAATCACTGCGAATTTGAAATAATGAAAAACGCTCAGTTCCTTTGTCAAGCTTTCAAGAAATAATATATTCATCAGAACTTTATAAACTATTTCTAATAATTAACGTAGTTTAAAAAAAAATCAATTTCTACTTACAATAAAAAATACTATCCATCCATTTTACCTCATAATTTTTAATATTGTAAGTAGATTTTATATTTAATGGCTGTGTAATTAGTAAAAATAGTTTCAAAATTTTGATGAAAGAGATTCTTCCAAAGGTTGAAGGAACTGAGAATTTTTCTTTCAAATTTGCCTTATCCCTGACTTTTTATATACAATTATTTATTTTTAGATAAATCCGGGATAAAATTTTTGACCTGACATGGTTGCAAACAATTGAAATGGTTAAAAAAATTCCCATATTTATATAATTGATAAATTAATAATTATTCAATATTGGCATTAAATGCAAATAACAATCGGTATAAATTTAATATTGTACTCAGTATTTATTTAAATAGTTTTGTTTTTTATTTTGTCAGTTTATGATACAGGCAGATTTTGCAGTAAGAAATAAACATTAATATAAAAAATTTATATATTATAAAAATTCAGGTCACAGATTTTATATTTCAGTTTGGCATTTTCTTAGCTAAACTAATAGACTTTTTATTGTCTTTGCAAAATCTGTGCCATTTTATTAGAATATCACATTTTTTTAATATTTCAATAAAGGCATAACTGAAGTGTTATAGTAGAGTGTTAGTGAATTTGTAAAAAATTTAACATTCAAATAGATTGAAAATTGCACATCAAAGTGTAAACTATGCAAGTTTGATTTGTTTTCAGACGGCACTTTAGTTTTCTTTCGTACCTGTTTATTACAGGATGAAATGCACTTAGTTACTTGATTAAAAAAAATTTAGATGTTGAATTTAAAGTAGCGAGAAAGATGGTTTCTCCCGCCCCATGATTTATATTGTTTTTAGTTTGAAAAAGGAACATTAGTTTTAATTTTGTTTAATTTTTTGTTGATGTGTATTTTTGATAAATTCACACGTAGATCGTCGTAGAATTCTTAATGCGACAAAGTGTTTCCACTCTGCTGTTTTGTTTAGAGCCGGATTATAATGTGGGAAGTGACTTGGATGTTTTTGCAGATGTTGGAATGTTGATGATGCAGACCGGAATGGTCAAAGGGGACCTTAACCAGAGTTATATAGATGGTAGGGAGCAACATATAACTGCCGTTCGCAAATTGCCTGCCATGCAATTCCTTTAAGTCATTTCTTGTCCTATTGTAGAGTGAGCCCGCTAGCTTTTGCCGTACTTAGCCGGCTTTGCCTTTGGTTGCTGATGTCTGTAGACTTATTTTTTATTTTATTTTATTATTATTATTTTTTTAAATTAAATAAACTTATGATTCCCCCTTGCAATTTTTTTTTTCAACAATCATTATTAAGCAAAACCTGTATCAATAATGTCAGAAACAACAAATCTATTAATTTAGTTTCCCTTTTATTTTATTTTTTATTTATTTTTTTAAGTATGAAAAAGAAAAACATGTATCACATAAAAAGAAAAAGTCATAAATTCAGTTGCTTACTCAGATAATAATTTGAAAAAACTTTATCAAAATTATTATATTGTCAGATATACAACTATCAAGAACAATAAAAAAAATTAAATACTTTTATAAATTAACAAATAATGAAGTTAAGAATTAAATTTGGGTAAACTCAAGTGGGTTTCTATTCCAATCTGTTGCCATAAAAAATAAAATAATTAATTAATGACACTCTGAACGCGACACTCAACCGTGATCTACACACAAAACACACTTTGAGCCCTGAAGATCTCAATAAAGATCAGAACGGTGGCACAATAAAGAAAATATTTTTCTAAACCACATGATCTCCAAATAATCATTAATTAATGCTCAAGTCCTTCATGAAAGTTATTTTATTAGGTTATATTTCAATTTGGTTTATTTACCTTTTTTAATGTCTCCATTTTGTTTAGATTTATTTTTAAGGCAAAGCTGGCTTTGAATAATGCTCGGGGATTGTTTACACATCATAAAATAGACGAATATTTATAATCATTTTTTGCAATAATTCTTAAATGATTAATAGCATGTTATATGCAAACTTTATTTAATTTTAAAAAATTTTAATAGGATGTTTTATTTTATTACATCAACAAATAAAACTTAATAATTTAATAACAAAACCATTTCCACCCCAAGAAAAAATTTATTTTATTATTTCTAGAAATATTTGGAGCTGAATTTAAGCATATTTGTTTAATGTATGTTGTGGAAGAGAGCAAAACCGAATATTTCAATGAGTAATAATATAAATTTTAACTATGGTAGTTTAAAAATAAAATCTATGAAATTTTTTTATTAAGATCATTTCTTTGGTATGTTTTATTATCATATTGCACATGCTGATTAATATAATCAATTCACGGATTTTTATAATTAATTTTAAACTTGAATTATTTTAATATTAATCCTTTAAATTACTTGGTCAAGGCAGTTTAATCACCAAGCTACTAAGTAAAATTTTTGTTATGAATTTCACTAAATCAATCGCCTTTTAAAAATCTTGCAGTAACATGCTTCTGCATACTCGCATGGTGAATATTCTTTATCTGGCTTAATTATATCAGCTTTTGTTTTACATATCGAAAAAGTTTAATTTGTTCTGCTGGTATTGTAGATGTAAATTAATTTGGTTCAATAAATTTTAATAATTATGCCTCATATCAAACCATAGGGTATTTTTTTCAGGCGCTTTTCACAGTATGAGATCTTGCTCTTTGAATGATTCATTTATTTATATAGTTCAATTTCAAATTTATTTTTTTCATATAACTTATAGTAGATCTAAAAAAAAATCCTTACCGAACCTACACCAATATATCCTTGACGTTTAAAAATTTTTTATTCATCGTATTCCTGATATTTTTACTAACTTTCAGCAATGACAAAAATCTTGTGTGAATAACAACGCTCAATTATAATTGAGATAACTCTACAGGGAAAAATAACCAATTCTGGCAAGTTTTAAGGAATGGGTTTGATCAAAAAACATACATTAACACGACTTGTAAACAAAAAAAAAACCCTTAAAACGAAAGTGAAATATAATTCTGAGCATTTAAGGAGTTTTTTGTTTAAACATTTTGTTTTTTTATTTATTTTAAAATGATATTACACATGACCATGTATCATTCACCGAAAATTGTCTTTAGTTTTGTGCAATGAATAATTGTACAAATTTGGGAGTGACTAACATTCTTGTGTGTTTGTGGATGAGCAGTGGCAACCTTCAGGAAGGGCGTGAGGGCGGTACAGATGGTCGGCCGGGCAAGTAAGGACCTTAACCCTACATTCAACCTACAATCATTTTCATGTTGACACACACCATATCTTTCCAAAGTTATTCACTGAATTCATTGTCTTCTTTCCACTCTGTCTGTTTGCAATAATTAAAAGTCTCTTACACAAAAAAAAACTTTGGCAGTTTATGGTGACACCGTTAAAAACAACACAGAATACATTAGAATATTGTTTGTGTTTATTGATGTTTGTAAAATACACTAGGGTTACAAATATTTTTATATGTATATATATGTTTTAATGAAATTGGAAAAGGGATGTTATAAAATGTCTACACTAAGGGAGAATATAACTTTTCTTTCATAAACTATTTTCTTATCAAAAAATTTTTAAATTTAAATGCATGAGTCAATTTGATCAAAAACTCTAAAATTAAATGCCCACTGTTTAAAACTTAAAAAGTGCACGTCCTTCAAATTCATTCTTGAAAGATATTAAAGTGTAAACTATCCCTCTTAGTTTTGCAAATTATAAAACTGATAAAAATATATACATATATGTTATAGTGTGAGGGCATGTGAAAAAATTATACAATAATTTATTTTAATTACTTTGGTGTTGTTTTTAAAATAACTGTTAGTTATTTAAAGCTGTGGATGCGAGAATACATTAGGAATACAGTGAGCTAAACAAAAAAAAATTTACTCGAAATTTAATGGCTAATGTAGAAAATAGTTAAATTTAGTTTTTATTTTAAAATATTAGCATTTTTTCATGCATTATGGTTCAACAAGAATTTTATAAAGATATATTGTAATAATGAGAAAAGCCACTTATAAAGTTTTTCTTGATCAAAATTAAATTACAGAAAAGTTACAGGTTTATAAACTTTTTTTTTCAAAAACAGTTTTTTTTAAGACAGACATTATCTGTACTTAATGAACTTTAATTGATTAATAATTTATATAATTTAGTTTTTCATTTGCCATGCTTAGTTTATAAAATGGGATTTTCAAGAAGTCTAAAGCCACTCCGCTCACCTTTTCAAAATTGATTACTTCTTGCATTCTGTTAATTTAATTTAGTTCGTAAATTACAAATTGGTTATAATTAAATAATATTTACCATAATTAGACTGAGAGTTTATCTTCTCTTGCTTTTCTCATCGTTAAAAAAAAAAAAAAAAAAAAAGAGATATCTTTATAAAAGACAGATCGGTTCATATTGTAAAGTGAAGTATTAAAGGGGAATTAACAATTTTATCATTTTGAATTTCTGTTTTCTTTTTGTTTCTCCTGCCTTATTAGGCGAGGACATTTCATATACAAGTAAGTTAGGCTTCAAACTTAGCCTTCCCAACCATTCCTGCAAATGTTAGTTACATTCAATTTATTAATTTTCTGGCATATTTTTTGTTCAATTTATTTATTTAATTTTGAGCATATGAACAACATTTTCCATTAATAACTGGTAGACTTTTATAATCTGCACTTTTCCATTTAAGAAAATATACATTTTTTGCACCTTAGCACACTGTTATGACGAGCACAGCTTTTATAGCTACAGCATGTTGCATATTTGACATTTTTTTTATCTAAAACCTTTTTTCAAATTAGTAGATATTGCAGTGATACTTAATTTATAAATTTTTATCAATTTTATTTTCTTCTTGATTTTTCTATTAAATATTTTTATTGGCAATTTATTTTTTAAAATTTACATTTCAGTTTTTAATTTTGGTTTTTATTTGTTATATATTTTCTTTTTATGAAATTTTATTTATTTTATTTTTTAATTTGAACTAAATTCATTTGAATAAAGCTGAGTTGCTAATTTTTCAATCAGAGAAATGATCAAACGAGGAAATACGATCAAAATCTAGTCAAGAAGGTAGACGTTAAAAGAAATCAATAAAAAATAATAGAAAACATAAAATGTAGTTGTAGATTTAAAAAAAAAATTGTTATTGTCTAGATTTTAGTTTCTAGAAGACAAAACGAGTAAATATTTTTATAGAGGGTATGAAAATGCACAGCATGACATTTTGGGGTGTTTCTCTCTTGCAGATGACCACCATCTTCCCCCTTCGTTCACAACACCAGAACTTCCAAAGAAAGTCCAGATAAGAGGTATTAGTTACCTATATTTAACAATGTTTAAAATTAAAACCTTAATATTGGATTGTTTTAATTGATTATGAATCCTGAAAAATATTAACACCCACCGTTGAAGTATTAATGTTCAAATAATTTCGGCGTTTTGTTTTATTGAAGAATAATCGACTGCTAATTTCTTAAATTTAAACACACAAAAACATTAAAAATTCATTTTTGAGTTTGTTAAAAAAATAAATAAATAATATAATTGTGATAACATAACACACCATGATATTATTGAAAACATTAAATCATTTAATTTTTTTAAAGTATCCAGTTATAAAAATCTCTAGTTTAGATGTGCTCTATTATGTTTAACTAGTTCAATATTAAATTAAAATGTTATGGAGAAATTAAACTAGCATTGTAATTAATAATTACAATTAAATTGACCACCTTTCTTGAAAAAAAAAATTCATTTTCAAAATTCTCTCTCCCTCTCCCGCTCCTTCTCCCACTCTCTCCCTCACCCTCTCACACTCTCTCTCCCCTCTCCCTCACCCTCTCACACTCTCTCTCCCCTCTCCCTCACCCACTCACACTCTCTCTCCCCTCTCCCTCAGCCACTCACACTCTCTCACCCCCTCTCTCTCTCCCCTCTCCATCACCCTCTCACACTCTCTCTCCCCTCTCCCTCACCCACCCACACTCTCTCTTTCTCTTTCTCCCCCTCTCATCTCTCTCTTTCTCTTTCTCCCCCTCTCCTCTCTTTCTCCCCCTCTCCTCTCTCTCACCCCCTCTCCTCTCTCCCTCTCTCTCCTCTCCCCCTCTCCTCTCTCACCCCCTCTCCTCTCTCTCTCCCTCTCTCTCCTCTCCCCCTCTCTCCTCTTTCTCTCTCTTTTTTTTTTTACTTTTAAAATAAAACATAAACTAGGTAATAATGGTCATCTATTTTAACCTAGGTAATTGTTGTATATGTTTGTGTCTATGTGTTTTACCTTTGTAATTGTTATATTGTTGAGATTCTTTGCTATGAATTACACCAAACCTCATTCAGTGTGTTCTGTCAATTCGTAAATAGAGTGTCGTATGTTCATTTATTAAAACTCCTTACAAATCTGCATGTAAGTGTTGTGTATTACTTGTCACAACTGAAACGACAACATGCAAACGACAGCTATCTTGCCTGTTTGAATGTTGTGCATGGAGTGGGGCGGAATTTCTCAATATGTGCACTTATTAAGTATTTTTTGTTTAAATATAAAGTCACTAATGGGAAATTACATTAAACACAAATTAAAAACAATTTTAATAGTAATCTATATTGTTTTATAATTTAAAATCTGTGGAAATAGTAGACCATTTTTTTTCTTATGTCTAATTACGTTCCAATTGCTACTATATTCTTAGCAAATATAATTTTTAATTGTTCAAAATAACACATTAAAACATAAAAACTGAATTTTTCTAACCAAAAATTTTCATAGAAAAATTTATATTTGCTTTAAAACAGTAATTGCTGAGAAAAAATTAATACACACACTATATAGAAATACACAATTTTTGACTTTATACTTTTCAACAGATAACTGATTATTTATTTATTTTTGAGCTGAAATTAATATCATGTGGGTTTCGACAGGTGAAGCCGGGCGTGAAAGAGAAGATTCAAGTAAGTTTCTTAATTTTGATATTTTTCGTTTTCCGATTAATGTTAAACTGTGCTTGGGATTCTTTGTAATGATTTTTTTTAAATCAATTTTCAGTTACAAACAGAAATCTTCGGAATTCTACTCCAATAATGAATTCAACGAAGCAAGTAAATAAAGTCAAACCGACAGTCAATAGAGCGTTGAATGATGCGACGAGTCCGAATCAGCAGGGTTTCAACAGGTAAGTCTATCATCTCATATTCAATTTCTTACGAGAGATGAACATTAAATAAAATTATATTAAAATGGCTTTAACTGTTAATTATAATGCATACGGCTTCAAGCTGCTAATAATTAATTGTGACAGTCAGAGTACAAGCAAATATCTTTATAGTGACTTAATGGCTGATTATTTATACATACGTAAATTTATTTCATTCAGTTCAGCAGAGAGTTAAAAAAAAAGCTTTGCAAAAGTGGAAGAAAAATCCGCGAATTAGTGTAATTTTAAATATGGGTTTGGGCGCTGCAAAAATTTAATAAAAACATTTTAAAAAATAACTGAAACAATTTAAATACAATTTTAACTTTTAGGATAAAACAATTCTTCTCATTGATTTTTTTTTCTTTTTGGAGTGAATGACATTTTTTAAAAATTTTTATGCTGTGTAACTTTTTACACACTTTACATTTCAGTGCACTTTGTAGCGTACTAATAAACTCCTTACGTAGGTGAATGTCTCTCCTTAGATAAAACTTCACTAACAGATGCTAACATTTGACTACTTGGTGCTAACAAATGAGTGCTATGAATGCTTTTTTATTTATTTTTTAACGCTTGTTTTTGCTTAATTAAGAAACGGAAATGTGCACTCTGTCCGGCTAAGGGTTACCGTAAAAAGAAGTGTATAAACTTTAAGACAAGTGAACAATGTTTCAATTTATAATGAATACAAGGATAAATTATTTCAAATATAGATAGGCTTATAAATATTATATTTTAAATTATGATTTTTTTAAATGTCTGCCTTAAACATTTGAAATTTAACTTCTTTAACGCAAAACATCAAAAGTATAAACAAAAGGTAAGAATATTTAAAAAAAGGTATAAAAAAAAATGAGAGTAGGATTTGTATTAAAATTTTGTAAACTGCATAAAATAGGTATTTTACGATTGCATTTATGTAACATTTTGCATTATATAAAATATTTAGGAAAGTTAACATAAAGATTTTCTTCTTCAAAATGGCAAAATTGAAATTCAAAAATTCAAGTTCAATCATTACAATAATCTTGATATAATTAATATAAAAATTAATAGTAAAAAATCACGTATAAGATAAATTTGAAAAAAAAAACTTAGTTTTTACATCAAGCTTTCATTCATCAGGATTTTAAGATATTAATAATTCAGAAATTTAACAAATATGAACATGCTGAATTTCCGATTTGAGAGTGGAACGAGATCATCAACAGTAACGGTCATGATATGTTCTTTGTAAGCTTGACGAAGGAATTGAATCTTTTGAAAAAGATAGCTCCTAATCACCATTAGTTGTTTTAAACGATCTGAATTTCAAGCTTATAGATCATCATCAGTTGGTAGAACTCCTTCAACCTGATGATGAGCTATAAAACTGAAATCCGGAACGTTGAAAACAACTGTGAGTAGAAACTATCTTTTTAAAAAGATTGAACAACTCACTCCACCATTTATCATTTCTACAAGGAACTGAATATTTTCTATTTCCTTAAAATTGGCCTTAACTTTTTACTACAAAATTACCATCAAATTTGCAACAAAAAATAAATAAATAAATAAATCTAGGAACGATTCATCCTTAATATTTTACAAAAAGATTTATTTTTAATAAATAATATGATTTTTCAAAAAGGAAATATTTTGTGACAAAAAGGGAAACAAATAGAAAAAAATTGCTACCCTGGTATAAAGTAAAAGGATTTTCTCTATTTTTAAAGAAAAATCCTTCCTTGTTTAATTATTTAAAAATTTATAATGATGAAAAACAAATTAAATTGAATTGAAGAATATGAGATATGCCATATTATGATGATTGTAATAACAACATAGCTGCCACTGGTTGAAACAAGTTTTGCAATTCATATATTGCATATAATTTAAAATTTTGAAAACTAAAAAAAAACACTTGTGGAGTATGTCAACCACCAAGGCACTAAAAATCACTATTCTCAGATACCTGTGGCACACCCTTGACACATCGTCACCGATCCACCGTGTCACATCATTTCTGATAGCTGTTTTGCAAATATATGTGCACATAAATTTATACAATCAGTGCTGTTTACTTAGTAAGCACTTAGCAAAAAAAATCTAAATTTATTTAGAAAGAAACTTCAAAAAACAACATTGTCCTCTAGTTCTTCTCAAGAATCTTTCTATCTGTTAAAACTCCCGGTTCATTGGTGACTAGGATTTTTCCCATTCTTCTATAGTCAATGATTGGTGTTCCCTTGCAAATTTTAGTCTCTCTTTTTCTTCTCTAGCCTTCTCAATCATGATGAATGACGATTCTAATTCATCGTGGCTTAAATGGCTCATTATGAGACACAAAAAATTGACAAGGCAGAGAGAGTAAAAAAATTGCTACACCGGTCTAACATAAAGTAAAACTCAACCCGATTACACGACATTTGAAAAATGGCAAAAAGGAGGGAAACTTAAAAAGGTGCGGTTGAGGGAAGTTGGTGTCTGAGTGGATTGAGGTCACGATAGCTCAAGTGGTAGAGCAGCGGCGTATCAAGCCGAAGGTCGTGGGTTCGAATCCCACTCGTGCCATGGACTTTTTTATCTCAACTAAAAACCTTAATTAATTGTAATAAAGTAAAACATTTGACCATATTAATTATTTCAATTAATTATTCTTTTTTTGTAGGGTCTTGGTTGAGATGAAAAAGTTAGTTTCATGAGCTGGATTCGAACCCACGACCTTCGGCTCAACCACTTTTGCTATCACGACTTCAGAAGTGGTTACAGCAACGGTGTGTTGAGCTAAAGGATGTGGGTTCGAATCCAGCTCGTGAAACTAACTTTTTCATCCCAACCAAGACCTTACATAAAAAGAATAATTAATTGAAATAAAGTAAACCCGGACTGAAAGGATCATTGAAATTAACCAAGAAAAACTTGAGTTCAACAACCAAAAAGCAACGAGATTTATAAGTGTTATGATATTTTTGACCTAGAGTGTATATATTTACTGTTTTTAATCCAATTAAAATTAATTAAACTATTTTAAACAATTATCAATGCCTAAATAGTGTAGATACAGTAATTCAAGCCAAGAAGTCTTCCCCTAAATTGAATTTCATCGGGGAAGAAGATTCCATGCAGGTTGTTTTTAGTGATCTTGAATAAATTTAATAATACAAAGTCCAAAGTCCTTGGAGCTTAAGCAGTACAAATGATATATATTTAATTGTTTATAATTTATTACATGATCATGAAAATTAAAACGACACGAGGAAAAAAGTTTATAAAAGGATGAATGTTTTGAATTCAATCAATAAATTGTATAAATTCTTTCTTTCTTTATTTTTTAAACATTCTTAGGATGATTTTTTTTTTTTTTTTTTTTTTATTGGCCTTATGATCTTGCATATTAGCCATAGTACGAATTCTTGTGTGTTTAATTTGGGGGTTATCGGGAAAAAAGGGCCATAGGCGACGGTGGGAATCGAACCCACGACCGCGGCGTGAGAGTCTCTCATGCTAACCACTCGGCTACCGCGGTCCTCAGATATTTTTTAATATTAGGGTTCTTTCCTATAAAGATTATCCTGCCTTAATTGTTATATTTAAATGTATACTTATATTATTTAACTTCATGTTTAATTATAAACAGTCTTATATTTTAATGTTCTTTTATTTGTTATTTAGCAAGGCACAATAATTCTTTGTTTCACGATTTTTTAAGAGGCTTGTTTCGCTTTTTAATGTAAAAGAAAAATACTATTTGTGTTATTCTCACGTTTTTTTCTTCATTCCATCTTCTGCTTTCTTAACAAAATGCTATATCGTCATTTAAGAGCAACAGTATGTAAAATCGACAGTAAATTTTATTAAGACTTTTTGAAAAAGAAATTAAATTCATTAAAATCTCAATTTAAATATTACATTCAAAGTATAAATTTTGCCAAAAAGGATTTTAGTTGGGCATGGTTATCACTAGACGAGCACCAAACAGTGATGTTTACCGATGTTTTTCAGGCCTCAAGAGGAATCAGCATATGCGGGCTACCATCTCGCTTATGAAGTCAAAAAGCTCATGTACGCTCTATCTGTCTTTCACTCACACACCTCTGTATCTGTCTCTCTTTATATCTTACTTTATTTCTTCTCACTCTATGTGTATTCTCCCTTCTATGCTTAATCCTATGTTTGTATTTTGTTTTTATTAATGGTTTTAAAATAGGATAGGAACTAGGTGTGATCCCTTTCCATGTTATGGAATTTAATCGTGTCTATTACCAGGACATGTCCTAAACATGCATGTAGCTTGCAGCTTGCTTCAGTGCATTTGGCTGATCCTTTTTTTATATATATTTTTTTAACAAAACAGTAGCTTTTTAACATCTGTGTTCTGCTTTTATTAACATTTAAATCTTTTAAGGAATGGTAAACGATGATTTTTGAAATATCAATAAGAAAATTTCTTCACTTTAGAAAGGCATGGCTGATATTCTAACCCTTAATTGTAACCCACCAAAAAGAAAATCCATATATACAAACAGCTTTAGATTAAGAATGTCCTTTAAAGAACAAGTATTTAAATTGTCACTTTACAAAGAAAAATTAGCTTGTTTTTAACTTATATAATTAAAATTTTGGCAATTATTTTTTGTCAATTAAATCATGCATATTATTGAAATTTTTTTTCAGGAAATTGTGTTTAAATAATGTATTTTTTTAAGATAAAAATATTGCACTTATATGTGTCATGGTTTGATTAGTAAAGTTGCTTTGTTAATAAATTTGGCATGACCGTTAGTGGACGTTTAATTTGTTGTGGTGCATAAAATTGAATTGCCATTTTTATGAAATGTACCAAATGAATGTTATTTAATATATTCAAGTATAAAAATGTTTAAAAATAAATATAACTAAAATCTGTATGTAATACTTCAAATAATAAGATAAGGTTGAGCAAAGTGTGACTTGCAATATGTGGCTGATGCAGATTTCTTCTCGATTTATATTAAAATAATAAATATATAAATAAAATAGTTTTTAGTTTAAATATGATTTATAAACATTTGCCGTCTGATCTAGTTAATTTCATGGTCTATTTTTAATTATAACTATTCAATTTTAATATCAATAAATTCATTAATTTCGTGGTCCACTTGACCAATTAATATATTACAATTAATTAAGGTTTTTAGATAAAAAAAGTCAATGGCATGAGTGGGATTCGAACCCACGATCTTCGGCTAGATACGCCGCTGCTCTACCACTTGAGCTATCGTGACCTCGATCCACTCGGAGCTAACTTCCCATCTCAACCCCACCTTTTGAATTTTGAACCTTGAAAAATGGCAAAAAGGAGGGAAAATCCAAAAGGTGTGGTTGAGATGGGAAGTTAGTGTCTGAGTGGATTGAGGTCACGATAGCTCAAGTGGTAGAGCAGCGGCGTATCGAGCCGAAGATCGTGGGTTCGAATCCCGCTCATGCCACTGACTTTTTTATCTCATCTAAAAACCTTAATTAACTGTAATTTAATATCAATTCTATTAAAAACTGAACATTACAGTTCATTGATTTCTTTTTGAAGTCTGCCAGTTAAACTTGTAATTTGATTGTTTTTATTTATTTATACAGGTAAATATACCCAGTTACATTTTTGATCATCTTGGTGCTGAATCTCATAAAAAATATCAAAACAGTGAGGATAGGCAGATCAGAATAATTGTGCGAAACTACAACTTATTAAATTTTTATAGTTTAATAATTTTCGTATTTAAATTATAAGGAAAAGTTTTTTTTTAATAAGATGAATAAATTGTAAACACTATAAAAAACCAAATCTGCAAGAGCCATGTTGCATATGTATGTTTGTTTGTTAAAAACTGCAAATATATGTTCAAAAATAACACTTCAAAACGCTTATAAAATTACGGCTTAACATAATCATTCTTTTATTAGGCCAACAAGCAGGTCATCAGGAGGAAATAACGTGAATAACAACAGCGGAGTAGGTTTACAAGTGGGCATTGCTGACGATCAAGCGAAAGATTTTGACTTTGAAAAAACCGAGATGAAGTACGATTCGACTGGAATGTTTCACTGGAGTCCAGCTCGAAATCTCGAAGACTGCATTTTGGTAAAAGGTTTTGAAAAATGTTTACTGAATTATTTTTTAAAATTTTTTTGTCTGTAGGATCGGAATCAGGCGGCTATGACAGTATTGAATGGACATGTTGTCGTGTGCCTCTTCGCTGATCCTGATTCTCCACTTATTGGGCTAAGGAATCTCGTAATGCCTTTGAGAGCTTCAAACTTTCACTACCATGAACTGAAACATGTAGTGATTGTTGGTGCTGTCGACTACATTAGAAGGGAATGGAAAATGCTTCAAAACCTTCCCAAAATCTCTGTTCTAAATGTATATTTCTTTCGCATATTCTCATTTATATGATGTAATGGCTTTTTTTTTCCACAGGGTTCACCTTTGAGCAGAGCTGATTTACGCGCTGTAAATGTTAACTTATGTGATATGTGTGTTATATTGTCTGCTAAAGTGCCTAGCAATGATGACCCTACACTTGCAGATAAAGAAGCCATCTTAGCTTCTTTAAATATTAAAGCTATGACATTTGATGATACAATTGGTGTACTTAATCAAGGTAATATTATTCATCAAATTATTAAAATTTAAAAAAAAAAACTCAAAATTATTATCATTCAGACGAGTCTGGGGTTGTATCAACAAATGAAAATTTAAATTCAGTTAGTGGTCCTATAGTTCTACAAAGAAGAGGATCAGTTTACGGAGCCAATGTGCCTATGATTACAGGTAGAAATATAAAAAATAAATAATTTAACAAAGTTTTACAACAAACAAAACTTTATTGCAGAATTAGTAAATGATAGCAATGTTCAGTTCCTAGACCAGGATGACGATGATGACCCGGATACCGAGCTGTATCTCACACAACCTTTCGCGTGTGGCACTGCATTTGCAGTCAGTGTTTTAGATTCTCTAATGTCAACAGTAAGTTTTTTTTAGGTCTTTTCAACCTGGAAAATATTTTATAATATTTTTTTTTCCGTCAGACCTATTTCAATCAAAATGCACTGACGTTGATAAGATCGTTGATTACCGGCGGTGCCACACCAGAACTTGAATTGATTCTTGCTGAAGGAGCTGGATTACGAGGTGGATATAGGTATGTTTTAATAATAATAAAGATAAATTTGTTAAATTATCAAATGAGCCTACGGTTCCATCAAGAATATTTGTATGTAATAATAGGCAGAAAAGAACTGAATTTAATTAAACTGTGGGCATCTTCAACAAACTTTTTTTTTTTTAAATAATAAAATAATCATATTTGTTGTAGCACATCGGACAGTTTATCTAACAGGGATAGATGCCGTGTGGGGCAGATATCATTGTACGACGGGCCTCTTGCTCAGTTCGGAGAGGCTGGAAAGTACGGTGATTTATTTGTAGCCGCATTGAAATCATACGGGATGCTCTGCATTGGACTGTACAGGTAGAAAAGATTCTAGATTGTAATTATTTTGACAAAATAATTTAAATAATAGTGAATAAAGAGATATTTTTAGGTTTCGAGATACCAGTTCTTCTTGTGATGCATCGTCCAAGCGATATGTGATAACCAACCCGCCTGATGACTTTTCTTTGCTACCAACAGATCAGGCAAGAAATCATATATTGAATTTTACTAGAATATATATAAAAACCTCTATTAATTTTAAATTATTTAGGTGTTTGTACTTATGCAGTTTGATCCTGGAATGGAATACAAACCAAACAGGGGGCAAAAAGGAAAGGACGATAATTCCTGACTATTGCTTTGTAGCGCCCTTACTGATGGACCATATTCTTACATATAAAAATGTCACACAGAGGTTACCAGAAATCCCTGATATTATATTAAGTACAATTAAATCAATTCTCATAAAATATGTAAATAATTTTGATGCTTCTTTTTTTTTTAATTTTAGAAATGTTTAGTTTAATTTAATTTATTATAGCTTGTAAATCAAATCAACATGAAACACACCTAAGTTTTTTGTTTATTCTTCCTACTTAGATTAAGATACAAGACAAAAGTTTCTTAGAAACTTCATATGAGTTTGTAACGAACCTATACTAGCAATTGAAATTATATACTTCTGTGTGAATAATTAGAACTGTAAGTCTTCTGCACATGGTTGATTTTTCAGCAAAGCATTTGTAAATAGAAAAAAAAACAACATAAAGGTGTGTCCAAATAATTATCATGCACTAAAGATGAGATTTCAGAACTTGAAAACATGTCCTTTGATTTTCAACGTTTCGTTTTTTGAATCTAGCTTGCAAGCTTTTTAATATTAAGTTTAAATTGGATTCAGGGTTACCAACGTTTTGCGGCGAAAATTAATCCGCAGCAAAGACTACTTGCATTTGATCCTGAAAAGCCGTTTCTTTTAAATTTTTAGAAATTTCGTTTCAGTGTAATTTCAGAAAGACAAATGGTTTAAAACATTCCTTTGAGACTTGATTTTTTATCCTTTAAGTAATCATTTATAAATTGCCTTGGTAACCCTCTTTAAAAAAAAAGTCAATTTTTATCTTTAGCTTAAGTTTATTGTTATTTTAATTTAGTTTATTTTGTGTTTTATTTATAATTTTAATTCAACTAAGTAAGTGTGTGTAATCATAGAAAAAACATTGTTAAAAAAAAAAATATGTGCTGGGCTGTGGACCAAATAGTTTTATGTAATTAGTTGCCCTCATTAGTTTTAACTTTTGTCTTGCTTCTTAATTATCAACAAAATGTTTTTCCTCTACTTACTACAATGATTAATCTCAATATTTATTATCGCAAAATTTATGTATATATTAAGTTTCAAATTTGTAATTTTTAGAATTATTTTTATTTTAGTTTTTGGTTTTGTTTTTAAGCTGTTTACATTTTTTTTAATTTTTTTTTAAGGGAATGATGGATATTACAATATGTGTGATGTTTTTGGTAAGTTTTGGGGGTGCTACAAATACAAGAAAAATAGCCAATTAAAAAAACAAAACAATGAAAATAAAAGATACAAACGGTAATAAAAACAAAACATCAACGAACTGTATGTGAATGCATAGTGATAAAAATAAATGAGTGTTCACAACATGTACATAAAAAAAACTATCACTGTATGAAATATTGGCAATCAAATCTTTCATATGGTGCATAGTTAATATTGTAATTAAACCAATGATTTTTACATTGGAAAGTTTATAGAAATTATATATAAATATAATATTTTATATTGTTTGTACATACATTGTCCTATGTAAATTGCGAACGTAGCTATTGTTATTACATAGCAAAACTCCATTGGTGTTAAATTGTTGTTTTCATGTGTATATTAGTGTTAATCGAAGACAAAAATTTTGCAGAGCATTTTTTTTCTTCTTTTTTTTGCGTTCGTCATCATCCAAGTATTTATTTTCATAAAATCATACAGATTTTAACGTTATAATTTAAACAAATTTGTAAAAATGCCTTCACCAATGGAACTGACACAAGCATAAATTTGCTATATATCAATGTTAATGGCCTAAGTGTATAAACACTTGTTCATTTGTGTGCATTGTGTTTCTCATAAGATAAAACTTGCCTTTTGCCAACAATCATGCAAAACATTTTCATAAAATTGTAAATATTTATTTGTTAAAAGTTCACTCAGCCTTGTAGATTTTTGTGTGTTTTTAGCTCAAACAAAATTATTTGTATATATGAGGCGATTGTCATTTTGTTAATGGTGTATAGCTATCTTTAATCTCTAAGCAATGTTCAATGTTTTGTGATTTTTAATAACGTTAAGAACTGACTGATTCATATTTTAAAAGCGGTTATAAATGGTATTTGAAAGTATATACAAGTTGTTTTTTCAAATTGTTTTTAAAATTGTCGTTTGGTTTTAGAATGAAGCCCAAATGAATAAGTGACAATCCAAAGTTGTATATTAAAGGTAGTTATGCACTGACTGTTGCTGCTTTGATTTCAAATTTTGGGTATAAAGCAGTCTCACTTGAATTATCCTACACAGCTCTGTTACATCAAGAAAATATTTATATGAATAAACACGCTTTATTATTTTAAACAGCAATTTAAAAAAAAAAATAAAAATAATTTTTTGGAAATTAAACATACGTGTATAATAAAATTATATTTCGATAAATTTGCTGTTTCAGAGTACTGCTAGAATTATGGTTGTATGGCGTGAGGATGATTAAGAAAAAACAAAACAGTAATAGAATGTGTGTATGGTTGGTTTTACAATAAAAAAGAGCAAAAACTAGAAATACAAGAAGATTGGAAAAAAATACGTTTATGTAGAGCATTGCAGGTCAGGCTCTGCATTTACATCGAGCTTTATAGATTAAATTTCATATGTTTCTAGGAAAATGAATAAAGTGCTAATTGCTTGTGTCACAAATTTGTCAATCATACTTGAATTTACACTATGTTTTTTATTAAACATTAGAAGAAAAAATTAAATAGTGTTACTATTACAATTTTATAAAAATTTCAATATATATCAAGCGGCACCTTATTTATTTCTGAAGTAAACGACTGCATAATGTTAAAATTTAAAATATTATTTATAATTTTAATTTTTAAAAACTAACTTAAACTCTACCCCTTATTGAAACCAAATAAAAATTAGTAAAATTATTTAACATTTTATACGGCATTGTTAATAATACATATTAAAAAAAAAAAACATTATTTAAAATAGCTTGTTACATTATCTAAGCTTTTTTTGAGACTATTGTGCCAGTAGCTTTCAAAATGTGGTTTTGTATAATAATTTTCTACAAATCGCAATAAGTAGATTTAAGGGTGTATGGTTGGCAGGTTTGTAACCCTTTTTTAGAAATGCAGCTCAGCCAAATTAATTATTCTTTATGACACAATCATTTTTGATAAAATCTCAATTTTATGGAGTAATTACAAAAAAAAAAAAAAAAAAAAAAAAACGACAACAAAAATCGCATAAGTTTGTAAATATATCTATTACTTTTTCACCCACGATTTGTTCACAATCAATACATCATATATAAACGTAAACTATATATATATGTGTATATATTATACATAAATATATATAAAGAGTGTAAATATATTTTACACCTAAATTACCTTTATTATAATCACGTTAAATATTGTTTTATAAAATGTCTGATAAAGCTCATCATGTTCTCTGCCATTTGATAAAAATTGTTAAAGAATAGTAATGTAATTATAATGATTATTATCATTATTATTCTTATTCCATTTAAAATGTTTGTTGTTAAAGTTGGAGGAATGGTCTAAAATATATTTATTTAAAAAAAAATGAATTTAAGGAAAATAGATTGTTGGCATTGAATAGTCTAATTATTAATTTAAGTGTTAGCTGTTTTGTTATAGCTATATCTGTTCATTTGAAACATTCTAATTTTTATATTTTAAAAGGCTTGAAAATAGTTTTCTCAAAATGTCAAATTTGGTTGTTTAGAAAATGTGATGTAACATCAGATTATAGTTGATAAAATTATAAATTATGACATCACAAAAGAAAAAGTTAATAATAATTTTAACATAATAATTATATATTCCTATTACATAAACTGATAAACAGTATTGACGGCTGTATAATTGAAAAAAAAAAATCTCAAAAATATTTTCACACAATTGTTTTGTAATTTAATCTCAATTATGCTGAATCAATTGTTTTATTCACTATTATCCATTCTGTATTTAATTGTAAATGCAATTCTAAAACTTTGTTTATAACATGATGTATTTATAAACAAAATTATAGTTTTATAATCGAACATAAAAACACATTGTACCTGTTCAATGCTTAGCATATAACAAATTTCTCTATACGTTTCTTATAGTTTTATAAGATAATTTCCACTTATACAGTTTGTCTCAGAGATGAAATATTGGCCTTTATTCAATGACGGTCTTCCCACCTTTGTTCAAATATTCGTGAAATTTATAATATAGACGATTAAAATAGGCCGCAATTCAAGTTTGTCAATCATATTGACTTTTCTGCCAACTTTAAGAATGTCATCATTAAATCGGACATATCAAAAGTTACAAAAAGTTTTATTGTGATGTGTGTGTTTTGTGTGTTAGTAAAAATATATTTCTGTTATATCAAAATGGACAGTTGAAACATTACAACTTCTCAATTCTTGCATTTGAAACAAAATCCTGTTTTAATTTTTCTCTTTATAAAACAAAAACGATCTTTTCATCAGAAACATAGGCCAAATTCAAATACTTTAGTTTTTATATAGATATTTGAATTTGTTCGTTCAACCACTACAATTCTATAATTAGTTCTTTACAATAATTTAATATTTATTGAAAGAACAGAACTTTTCTTTCATTTTCCAGGTAACTGGTGAGTACGACTGAAAAGTTCTATTGTGGAATTGAACCTTCTTTATTTTCATACCCCAGAAAGTGCACTGCCTTTGAGGTAGTTGAGCACTTTCTAGGGATTCTCTTTACCAATTTCTCTAGGAATTAGTGTTATATTTGGTGCTTTGCTCATCAAATAGGACATGTTCCAATTCTCTGCTGTTTCACGATATAGTCAGCAGGTTTCTGCCTCATTTTTCCCAATTTTTTAAGGTGGTAATTGAATGCACAGTGGCAGAGATGAGATATGTAGATTTTTGATTTCCTGAATGAGGAACTAATATGAACATTTCGCTCCGGTGAATTCATCCAGTGTGTGGTAATTTCTTACTCCATATATTTATTCAGTTATGTTTTTAGCATGCTGAAGCAGCTCTGGTTCATGGGATGTGAGGGCTGATGTGTCCTGGCACCCATAAGTAAGTTTTAGTCCATGAATAGGAGATAAGTTACACATTCCCAGACCAGCGTTGAAAGAGGAGTGTACAAAGTCTTCAGTGCTGCTTAGGTGTTTGACAATGCATATCTTCACCTTTGTTAAACTCTTTTAAGTATTTATTGAACACAGTTGGAATCAAGGATCTAAGTTTGGATAATTGATATTTAGGGATGGGGGGTTTCTCTAGGTCAAAATTTGGGCATAGGCAAATCCTGCTCCTAGTCCAGGTTCGATTTAGAAATCCATCTGTTATTTTCACAGTTTTTATTTTTGTTATTTTATAGTAAAAATTATTCAAGGCTGGTCAGTAGATTTCTTACAACAAGTCACAACATGATTGTTATCAGCTTTATTAATTATGATTTATTATTATTATCTTAACTTTTCATTAACCCATCAATCATTAAAATATGTTATCTTGCAGTATAAACCATCATATTGTGAAGATCTTTCAAAAAAAAAAAGAAGCAAATACGAGGAAAATAAGGTCGCCATTAAAAAAAATGGATTTTTTAAAACTGTAACTGGAAAATTTGCATTTGTTTTTGGGTTTCAGCTTGGTTAAGTTCTAGCAGAAATTTAATAACAAAAATTATTAACTTAATATTAATATTAACTAGATAGTTAGACAGTCCTTGGCAATGTTGGGAGTGAGTCGGTCTTCAAAGCAATTTGATACAATCTATTAAAAATTTAATTATGCCCATTGAAGAGTATTTAAAAATGTTTTGCCTTGATAGTCACATTAAAATAGGTTGAAAGCTTGGCAGTATACCAAGATCCAGATTATTCGTGAATTCTCTAGAACGTTATAGCTATACCCAATTGTTATTTTTAAAGGAAAACCCGTTAATAAACGTGACTTTTTGAGCTGCTGTTAGGTATCTGTGTTTGGCAAGAGAAATCTCGCAATTTTCAGCTTTGAAAGAGGAAAAGTTTAATCCTCATTTGCATGGAATATAGCATTGGCCATAGCACCGCCAACCAATCGATAAAACCCACGGTCACATAATTCATATTATAAAAATAACTAATTGTGCAAATGATGAAAGAACTAGGGGTTGAGACAGACTAGATGTTGTACAAAAAAGAAAAGTAAAAAAAGATATATATATATATATATATATATATATATATAGAGAGAGAGAGAGAGAGAGAGAGCGATATTTATTAGAAGTAAGAAGTATTCAGTTTGACGAGTGGTGCACCATTATTTTGAAAATTGCTTGCATGATCACAATTTTCCAGCCTAATAGAGCAATAATTTATTTGGACAATTTTTTATAGTATAAAAATCTACAAGCCAAATCAGTAAATAATAATAATTTTGTTTAACCAGGACTGATATAAAATAATAATAATTAGGGCAAAGGTGAGACCGGTGAGTGAACCAACACAGAATTTGAAACATAAAAATAGCCAGCAGGATCAAAATATACTAAATTTCTTGTTATAGAATAAACTATAAATATTAATAATACAAATTCTCTATAGTTCTTTTTTGGCAAAAAATAATCTTGAATGAATAAAATCACCCAACACAGATTATTATCAATAAATAATTATTAATTTATATGTATGAGTAGTTATAACAATATAATTAAAAGAACAAATATAGAACAGAATGGGAGTTTAAAAAAATTTATTTTTCTCAAAAAGATCATTAATATTATTGGTTAAGAAAAATATGTTTAAAAAAAATTGCATATTTTCTCAAGAACTGAAAATGTCTCTTATCAACTGTGATAACTTATAACTTTCCCGCCGAACTGATAACTCGTTTCTGTTTTCTATTTTGTAATGGAGAAAATCAAATCGTGAAATCGCTTTTTTTATTTTTTATTTTTATAAAATACTTAATTATGAGGAAATCAAACGCTCCGTCGAAACGAGGCGGTTTCGTTTCACCTATCATCACATCATCAAACATTTCGTCGATCAATCAGCTAGGTAATGTATGATTAGATAGCTTATGCTGTTTATGACTTATAGAAGTCTTATAACTTGAGAAGGAAATGGATTACTTTTCTATTGTCTATGATTGCTTCATTGCAACCTGCTAGCCAATGAATGTCCATTCTATATATTAACAATTTTATTGTCTATTAATTTTACTATTTTATTAGTTTCACAAAACTAAATTACAGTATTGACTGGCAGCCAAGAAATACTCTCATTTATAAATTCAGCCCATTGAGGGATTGTATATACAAATTACATTTAAGACATGCTTTCAACTCAACAAAATCAAAATTTGTTGCGTTCAAATTTGAAAATTATGAGCTATCAAACTTGAAAATAAGAAATACAAATATTTTGTCTTGAGTAATCAGAATGTTAAAGGATTGTTAAATAAATAACAAAGAGTGTAGTGTTATCATTGGGAGAACATGCATCTATATATAGAAATTTCTCAAAAAAGAGATTAAAAGGGGAATATTCGTTCTGTTAAGCTGCGTTATGTCATTTATGTTTTTATACCTTGTTTGGTAGCATGTAACAATTTTTTAATGATTAAAAAACTATTCATAGATTCACACATATAAATAGCAAACTGCTTCGACCAATTTATTTATTGATGCCGATGTGTCTCAATTTGCTATTAAGCTACATTGACCCTAAAACGCATCAACATCAATAAATAAATTGGTTGAAGCATTGTGCTATTTATTCGTGCGAATCTATGAATAGTTTTTTAATCATTCAACCCGCCGGACTGATCACCTATTTCTGTTTTCTATTTTGTAATGGAAAAAATAGAATTGTGAAATCGCTTTATTTAAAAAAAAATTAAATATGAGGAATTCAAACTCTCATTCGAAATTAGATGGTTTCATTTTACCTATCATCAAATTTGTTATGACTTATAGAAGTCTGATAACTTGAGAAGGAAATGGATTCTTTTTCTATTGTCTATGATTGCTTCATTGCAACCTGCTAGCCAATGAATGTCCATTCTATATATTAACAATTTTATTGTCTATTTATTTTAGTATTCTATTAATTTTTGTGAAAGATTGTGACTAAATTACAGTATTGACTGGCAGCCAAGAAATTCAGCCCATTGAGGAATTATACATACAAATGGTACAAAACATGCAATTTAAGATTTGCTTTCAACTCAACAAAATCAAAATTTGTTGCGTTCAAATTTGAAAATTATGAGCTATTTGTTTCGTTTCACCATTTTGTCAATCAATCTGCTAGGTAATGGGTAAATTGATTGCTTATGCTGTTTGTTATGATTTATAGAAGTCTGATAACTTGAGAAGGAAATGGATTCCTTTTCAATTGTCTATGATTTGCCTCATTTCAACCTGCTAGCCAATGTCTATGTTAACAATTTTATTGTCTATTAATTTTAGTATTCTATTAATTTTTACAAAATATTGTCACTAAATTACAGTACTGGCAGCCAAGAAATACTCTCATCTATAAATTCAGCCCATTGAGGAATTATACATACAAATGGCATTGAAAATATGCTTTCATCTCAACATCAAAATTTATTACGTTCAAATTTGAAAATTATGAGCTATCGAACTAGAAAATAAGAACTGCAAATATTTTGCCTTGAGTAATCAGAATATTAAAATGGTTTGAAGATTAAAAGGTGCAAAATTCATTTTCTTAATCTGCTTTATGTCATTTATGTTTTTATACCTTGTCTGGTAGCATGTAACAATTTTTTAATGATAAAACTAATATAATAGATTCACACAAATAAGCAGCAAACTGCTTCAATCAATTTATTTATTGATGCCGTCTCAATTTGTTATTAAGCTAGAATAGCATTATTAAATAAATTGGTTGAAGCATTGTGTTATTGTTTGTCCAAATATCACCGAAGAAAATGCTGTCAATCAAAAAAGGATGAAGAGTAGTAATTTATATTATCATAACTTGATAATATTTTTATTCTTATTTTTCTTAATAGGTTTTTATTAAAAATTTATTTTTTACCTTATTATCTAATCTATTCTGCAGGTAGAAGGAAAAAATTTATAACTAAAAATCATTCCATGAAACAAAATCATTTACTTTCAGCAAGAATGACCTAGGTCAAGTAAACTACTGTTGTTTATGGCTAGAAAAGTTTTAAAAAATTAAAAGCCTTGGTTTTCAGCATAAATCGACCTCAGACAACCTAACTACAGTTTTTTACAACCGAAAATTTTAGCATAAATCCAAATGCTTTGATTTTCAGCTTGAGCGCATTATGAGATGTAAAACTACTGTCATTTACACACGACACACACACACACACACACACACACACACACACACACACACACACACACACACACACACACACACACACACACAAATGTTTGATAGTTATCTATGATGTGTGGTGATTAGTGACCGTTAATCGATAATTATTCAGAAATCGTGAGATGCGGTCTGGTGTGATGAAGGTTTCAGAGAAACATTTTCTTTATCGTGCCAATGTTTCGATTTTTATTGAGATCATCTTCAGGGCCTGGGATTTACAAACATTGTTTACATATTACAATTATATTTTGGATGTGGAAAAATGAATTTATACAATGCAAAATATATTTTATATATTCAATAAAGATCGAAACGTTGGCACGATAAAGAAAATGTTTTTCTGAAACCTACATCACACCAGACCGCATCTCACGATTTCTAAATAAATAGTTATCTATAATCTTGGCCTGCCAATCGTCTTGACTTTTACTGGTGGTTGAATATAACAGTGTTTGGGTGATTTTTGAAATACTGAAGATGGCGATATGCGAAATTTGTCTGAACACCAACAAAAATCATCAAGACATAGTTAACTATCAAACAATCAGTAACTATCAAGTTAATCACCCTGCAGACCATAAAAAGTAATTTAAAAAAAACTTATTGAAACCCATAGTTTAAGGAAAAGTATGAAAATTGTTGTAATTTACACAAATTGCAAATTGGAAAAAAATTGATAAATAATAAAGCCTTGATTTTCAGCTTAAAAATCCTAAGACCCCGAACCTACTTTTTGTTTAACCAAAAACCTTGTTATAATTTCAAAAAGTTTGAGTTTTAGCTACACAACTTATTAAATGTAAAACTATTGTTATTTATTCCAAAAACATTTTATAAATCCAAAAGACCTGATTTTCTGCCTAAATGTTCTAAGAGAAATAAAATTATTATTTATCCCCAAGGACTGCTGTGGCTGAGTCGTTAGGGTGTCCATTCTTGTATTTTACAAGCTAAGGTTCTGGGTTTGAATCCTAGCAAAAAGCATAGAAATTTATTTGAGAATAATGCGATCTATGATATCCAGTAAGCAGTTGGATGTTAACCCCCCTCTATGGTAGTTTACTTTTTTGCTTATATACTTACTTATAATATAATAAGAATCTTTTTTCTACGTGCATACTTATTTGTAGTCAGAAAACAGTTTATAAGTACGAAATACTTGATTTTCATAATGATTGTTCTTGAAAAAAATTCACTTTTTTACCACTAAAAATCTTTTTTTAAATGAAAATGCTTCAACGATTTAATAGATGTAAAACTACTGTTATTTATGCTAAAAAAACTGTTGCTTAAAAACCCAAGATTAAAGTAAAGTAGGAAAAACTACAATAATTTACACTGGTAAAACAGTTTATAAATCCAAAACATAGTATTGTTGGTTGTACATTTATATCCAGTGGCTAATATGGTATACAAGGAAAAAATCCAAAAGACTTGATTTTTCAGTCTAGATGTACTTTTTCCCTCTATTTTTATTACTACCTGTAATAATACATCTTATAATTTGAGGTAATTTACATATTTACATTATATACTGTATAGTCTTGAGGGGAGTCGCCAGGCTAGTTGTACTAAGAAAGCAAAACTCCCATTATATATGCCCAGGAACTGCTGTAGCTGAGTCGTTAGGACGTTCGACCCTTCTATTTGCCATGTTAACAGTTCTGGGTTTGAATCTGAGCATAGCCCTTAGAATTTTTATTTAAGAATAATTTAATCAAATCGGTCTGAGCCCTCATCCATGATACCTAACAGGTAGTTAGACGTTAAGCCCTCCTGCATGATTGGAATTATTTTATTTTTTCTACTTACATAATTTTTTTTTACCAAGAAAATACTTTATAAATCCAGCCTTGATTTTTAGTCTATGTTTTAAGAAAGTAAAACAAATATTATTTAAACCAGGAATCCCCGTGGAACAATGTTGTCTGATCCCTCGTCCACTAAACTGAACACGTAGTTGGAAGTCCTGCATGACAGGACTGACTTTATTTTTTACTTACATGTTTATTTTTTACCTCAACATCTTAATTTTTAGCATAAATATCCCAAGAAAGCAAATCTTCTGTTTTTTACTATGATCTACTACAAAAAACCATTGGATAAGTCCAAAAATTTTGATTTTTAGATTCAGTAATTTTGTGGTCCGCTTGACCAATTAATATATTACAATTTTTAATATATTACAATTACAATTTTTATCTCAACTAAAAACCTTAATTAATTGTTTGATTTTTAGCTTCAATGACCTAGGAGATGCACAACTACTGTTATTTATGTGAAAAAACTGCTACTTAAAATGTATAGTTTAAAAAAATATATGAAAGATTACTGTTTTTATTTTCAACTTAGCGATCCACAAAATTTGTATCTACATGGTTGTAGTGGATTTTGGTCAATATTTACCATTTAAAAAAAAAATTTCCTTCAGGTAATAATGCACTTAAGGAACGGCAAACATCAATCTTGGATAAAAAATCAAATCCAGGAGTTATTCACAAACAAGACCAGAAACCAAATTTAGATTCGACAAAATGCTCAGTTAAAACAAGGTTGAAAGAGAGTATGACGCTAAAATCAAATTGAATATTTATCGACTTCGACATTTTAGATATTTTACTGTTGTTTATGGTAAGCCCACAAAGAAAAAGCACAAAACATGGGAAGGCGATGGGACGTTAAAAGTTGAAGAGAAATCCGCTATTCTGAAAGTAGGTCTGTCCGTTAAAAAAATTAAACAAATTATTTATTTTATTGTTTCATCAGGATGATTCAGGGGTAGTAATCGGTCAGTCGTCAAAACTATCAAATCCTGTTTTTACTGACGGATCTCAACTTTTCATCGGTGGAAAGGAAATAGAGGTGCATAATATTATTTTAATTTTTTAGTCATTTTTTTAAATTGATGTTTTGTTATGTAGATTGTCTGTGAGATATTAACAGACGGTCAAAATATTCCAAGTAATAAAAGAACCTTGGATGAGAATGTAGAGGAAGAGGCAAAAGAAGAATTCAGTTCAAAGAAAAAAAAGTTATTGGATTCACCCTTGTCAAGATCTTTTAGCTTACCAAAAGATATAGTTCCTTTAAGTAATGGTTTTACTCCTTTAGTAATGCCAAGGCCTGATGATCAACACCAAGTATTTACAATTATTTTATATTAGGTTAAGTTTTTGTTTTCCACATTTCTCATGGATTTTTACTAGTGGCACTACAATCCCGGCCATCTTGCTGTGACTGATGTCAGTGTAGATCCTTTTCTCTGTAGAGTCTTAAGACCTCATCAAAGAGAGGGCGTGGAATTTCTTTATAGATGCGTCATGGGAATCAGGTCGCCTGGTTGGACTGGGGCAATACTTGCTGATGAAATGGGTCTTGGAAAAACAATCCAATGTATAACACTTATTTGGTGAGTATGATATTTAAAAAACAAAAAATGTTAAAATTAATTTTTTTTGGCCATAGGACACTTTTAAAACAAGGTCCATATGGGAAAGTACCAGTGGTACAAAAAGTCCTAATTGTAGTGCCAAGTAGTTTGATCGAAAACTGGAATAATGAATTTATCCGTTGGCTTGGTTCACATAGAATAAAACTTTTTCTCGTTAACAAGGTACATTGCAAAATAATCTAAAAGTTTTTATATTTTTAATTTTTGTTTTAAACATTTTAGAAGCGTAAACCCAAGGATTTTAAAAGCTACCATCAAATCCCAGTGATGATTATTTCATATGAAATGTTCTTGCGTTGTTTCGACGAGATTAAAGACATTAAGTTCGATCTGATGATTTGTGATGAAGGACACAGATTAAAAAACAGCAATATACGGACAAATAATGTTCGTCTTTTTTATTACCTGCATATTAATTTGGTATTTTAATGATTGTAAATTCTAGGTGTTAAACGAAATGAATTGCAAACGGAGAATCCTCCTCACAGGAACACCAGTTCAAAACGATTTACAAGAATTCTTCTCTCTTGTAGATTTTGTAAACCCTGGCATACTTGGTACTCTTTTAGGTAAACCACCTATATTAGTAAACACATATATGTGTTTTATTATTATTATTTTTTTTTTTTTTAGAATTTAAAACAAATTTTGAATCGTGTATAATGGCTTCAAGGGAGCCAAATGCTCCAAAAGAGTTGGTCGATGATGGAGAAAAAAAGGCCGATGAGTTAAATAGGGCAACAAATAGCTTTATATTAAGAAGGACACAGTCAATAATAGGAAAATTCCTTCCTAAAAAACACGAATATGTTGTATTCTGTGAGCCGTCTAATCTGCAGGTAATGAATCATCATAGTAAAAATGATTCGAACTAATATAATTTTCATATTTAGAAATGCATGTACACGATGGCAACTGATTATTGGAATGAAAGAGAAACCGGGGCAGAACAGATTTCTCATTTGGCTGTAATTTCAGCATTGAAGAAAATTTGCAACCATCCAACATTAATATTTAAATCAAATAATGAAAACGAAGAGGTATGATTCTTGTACGCTCAGATTAAAAGAAATTTTTATTATATCATTTTTAGGAAAATGTCATAAATTGTTTGCTAAAAACATTGGATGGATATACTTTTAGAATAGAAGATTCTGCTAAGCTTAAAGTCACAGCCCAATTATTAGAAAACTTAAAAGGCTCGAAGGAAAAAATAGTAATCGTTTCCAATTTCACACAGGTTTGCATGCTTTTTTTAAAAATAAATATTAATAATATTACATTTTATTTATATTTTTACACTATTTAGACACTTGATCTTCTTGAAAAAGTATGCAACGTGAAAGAATATAAATTTTTAAAATTCGACGGATCGACGGTTTCTTCAAAACGCAATGATATTGTCAACACGTTCAATTCAGTCAATTCTGATGTCTGTAAGTATTCCGAAGGATATATTTTTTCTACACAAAGAATATTTTGTAAAGAATTCTATTTTAATTTATTAGATGTTCTATTACTAAGTAGCAAAGCAGGTGGCGTCGGTTTGAATCTTATAGGAGGTTCTCGGTTGATCCTCTATGATTCCGACTGGAACCCGGCTACCGATCTGCAGGCCATGGCTAGGATATGGAGAGACGGACAAAAAAAGACCGTTCATATTTACAGGTTTGACCAATAATATAAAATCATTTAAAAGTACAGTGAAACCTCTTGGAAGGGACAGATTTTGCTCTTTTTCAGGAAGTGTCCTCTTAAAAGAGATTTTTACTATCTGGTAACACATAGAAGTCTATGTGAGGTTTAGATGTTCATTTTCAATGACTTTTTGTTCTTTTAAAATTTTCCCTCCTATTATTTTGCCACATTTATTAAAGGTATATTAATAGATAGGTTTAGAAAATTTATCTTACAGAGAAATTTGGAGCTTTTAGCACAGTATAAGCGACAATAAAATTTAAAAGTTAACCTTTCCAAAACTAAAATAGTTGTTTTTCGCAATGGTGCTAAATTAGCCTTTTCTGACAAATGGTTTATAAGGAAGAAAAAGTTAAAGTTGTGAATCAACATAATAAGCATTTGGGACTTATCCTAACTTCGTGCTAAATGTGGACATAACAGGGTGTGGGCCAAACTTACACAAGATAAACATGTCTCCCTGGTCTCTAAAATAAAAGTTTACAAAAGTGTATCTAGGACAGTTGCCAGTTATGGCTTAGGGGGTTTCAGCACTTCAAGAATTTTGGAAAAATGAAAGGTACTTCCTCAATATGCTACTTTTGGGAATTGAAACGAATCCTGTATTTTCACATAGCCTCTAGATTCAACTAAAATACTATCTGAAAATACTAAAGTTGCTAGACCGACCACCATTTACCAAAAACTGACATAGAAGTTATGTATAACTTTAGTGGTTCAAGCAGTGGACAGTATGACACAAGAGTATTGTTCTGTCTTTTCAGACCTTTTGAACAATATTTCTTCCTGGAAATCCTAGTTGATTGATCTGCCTGACAAAATAAAATAATCAAAACTCAAAAATCAACTAGTTTTTATTTTAGACTACTTTGTTTTATTCAAAGCTCTCATGGGAAATAACAATAAAAAGATCATCGATAGAATTAACAACCTATATTTTTTTGAGCTTTATTTACTTTTAAAAAAAGGTAGAACTGTTGTTTCTAAACCACAAACCGTGGCCCATAAAAGGTACCACTGCTGAAAGACGTTGACTTTATAACTATAACATTCCTGAACATATAATTCATTTTTGTGTTCATTTTGCTTGTTGAAGTCGGTTTCAACTATTTTGAAATTTAACCCATTCAAGGGTGAAATTATTTTATATCGGACAGGTCAGTCTGATCCTCGGCCACGCATTAATTATGCACACCATGCTTTGAAAATTCGAAGTGGGTGGTCCATTTGATAGAGCTTTGTAATTAATTTTTGCTTCGCCTCATGCATATTTTCAATTAGTGATATTCCGTAAAATTTGGTTATTAAGTCTGTTATCACTTTTTTTTATTTTGGTCCTAATGATCTACTCAATTTTGTCAGTTTGCATTTATAAATATTGTTTTTGCTAATTAATCAAATCAAACATGCATTTCTCTTGCAGACGGCCTTTGCCACATACATATATCCTTTTTTTTTTTTTTTTTTTTTTTTTTTTTTTTTTTTTTTTTTTTTTTTTTTTTTTTTTTTCAAATAAAAGTATGTTGTAATAATAATTAAACTTCAATGTTGGTGGTGTATAGATAGGGGTGCCCCTAAACAGACCCTTATTGAAGATTTCACTGTATTTATTTATATTAATGTTTTTAGGCTTTTAACTTCGGGAACACTCGAGGAAAAAATATTTCAGCGTCAATTAACCAAAGCAGGCTTGAGCGAGGCTGTTGTTGATTCCACGAGTAATTCTGCTTCGATAAAACTTTCAAAAGAAGAGATAAAAGTATGACAAGTACATTTTGTCATCCTTCAAAACCCAATAATGGGATTTTTTTGTTTAAAGGATTTGTTTACGTTTACTGGAAAAGATAAGTGCTTAACGCATTCCATGTTGAACTGCGATTGCTCCGGTGATGGCGTGATTCCGGAAGACGGTTTAAAAGAAGAAATTGAAAATGACGATTCGCAATTGTTGTCGAACAAGTCAAGTCAATCTAGCTTAAGAATGAACCAGCTGTTACAATGGGAGCATCATGATGTGCCCATTGATCCAGAAATAATCGACGTATGTTTTGTTTATTTTTTATTTATTTTAATAATGATTATTCGGAGATTATGAGATGCGGTTTGGTGTGATGTAGGTTTCAGAAAAACATTTTCTTTATCGTGCCAACGTTTCGATCTTTATTGAGATCATCTTCAGGGCCTGGGATTTATAAACNCTAGCATTGTATAAATTCATTTTTTTATCTAAAATTTTCTAGCATTGTATAAATTCATTTTTTATCTAAAATTTTCTTGCATTGTATACATTCATTTTTTTTAATCTACAATTTTCTAGCTTTGTATAATTTTTTTAAACTATATTTTTCTAGCATTGTATAAATTCATTTTTTTAATCTACAATTTTCTAGCATTGTATAATTTTTTAATCTATAATTTTCTAGCATTGTATAAATTCATTTCTTTTTAATCTACAATTTTCTAACATTGTATAATTTCATTTTTTTATCTATAATTTTCTAGCATTGTATAAATTCATTTTTTTAAAACCAAAATTTTCTAACATTGTATAAATTCATTTTTTTAATCTAAAATTTTCTAGTATTGTATAAATTCTTTTTTTCACATCCTACATGTATTTGTAAAATTTAAACAATATTTATAAATCCCAGGCCTTGATGATCTCGATAAAGATTGAAACGTTGGCACAATAAAGGAAATGTTTTTCTAAAACCTACGTCACACCAGACCCCATCTCACGGTCAACAAATAATCATTAACCAATGGTCACTAAACACCATATATTTCAATAATTATTAATTCGCTGAATTTTTCTTTTTTCAGGGTATGAAGCTCAATAAATCAGAATTCTACATAAACTTCATCTTCAGAAACACTACACAATGTAACTAAACATGATTTTAAATAATTTATTGACTGCTTTCATTAAATTTTTTCTTTTTGTCAAAATATGTTAATTTATTTTTGTTATTGTTGTAATTTTACCATTGCACTGTTAAAATAAATAAAGAAAAAGGATTATTTTTAATTATTTAAAACACAATCCGATGTACCACGTGGGGCTCGTAGTGGAAATTCGTTTTTCTCTAGGTAATTCCACACCAAACCACCAATGTCGCTAGCACCTTTCTATCGACATTTGTTCCACGACTCCCGTAATATTTAATAAGAGCCGGTTTTTATCGCCAGATCTACAAGCAGACCCTCTTTAAATAATTCTAAACAGGACAGAATTATCAGTCGACTTTTGTTACCAGAGACCAAAACGTCGAGAACAATGGAAAAGGTGAGTCGGTATTTCATGCTGTTGGCTACCCAAATCGGCGAATATTTTTATATACTCATTTTTGTTTTTATTATTTAACAATACAGTAAATTTCTTACCTTTTTAACCCTTCTTGTATGTAAAAAAAATCGTAGCGGTTAAATATTTATAATGGGTTGAGAGGATATCGCCAAGATCGAGGTATTGATCGTCATTTACTTGGCAACATGGACGATGACGGGTGAGAAGGCGTGTAAAAATAGTACGCACGCCGAAAATCTTGGAACTAATCAGCAACGAATTTCAAATTCAAGACGGAAGTCAACAAACATAAAATATACAATGATGGACAAATTTAACGCACCACTCAATTTATTTAGTTTAAAATTAAATCTATTATCTTTCCACATAGTGGAATTAGGAGCTCAAAGTAAACAGCAAATAGTGCTTTGTTTACTTTTGTATTGTTTAATCTTGTTTGCATTAAAAAAAAACCGGTCTTCCATTCTGCTATGCCAAATGATCGCTTTCAGATATTTTTCCGTCGTCGGATTTCATTTGATATTACTTTTCGCGTGCCTCATGCTTGGGGTGTTGCTCTACCGGTGTTGGATTCATTAAGGATCCATTTTAGGGCAGAACTGATGAAGGTGGGGTGAGTATGTAGATTCAGTTTTTGAAAATGTTCACAAAGTTGTAAACAACAAATTACAAAAAGTCCATTTTTGGGGAGTTTCCTTTTTTTGTGGAGGACACACGATTCGGGGCTACCTTTGTTGACCAACCTGTCCACTTTTTCATTGCTTCAATATCCCGAATGCCTAGCGACCCATACCAATGAAATGCCTTCGTATAAAAAGTAATCTTTAATTATTTAATGGGCAGCCTCCATTTTTTAAAATGTACAAAATGACCACTTAATGGACAGCATGCTGTAAAATATACACTCATGCATAACTTCTTTCTTTAAAATATTTGCTGTTGTTTAAAAAGAAATGTTAACTTCGGTGTTTCGTCAATTCGAGGACATCGGTCTTACCCGTCCTACCGTCGTATTTGGTCTTCATCAACAGCTAGGTCAATTTCAGTCCCAAATTTTTAAAACTAGACACTTTACTTGATATTCTTCCATCACCCCTTACATATAAACTAACATAATTAAGGGTCGATGGGTCACTTAATATTCCGCCATCGGTTCTCTCACATTACACATTCACGCTACTACATACATTCAATCTCAATATACAACACAAAAAGAAACAAAAAACGGGATATCTACCAAGTACATAAACAATAAAATAGCTCTGTTTATTAAAAACAAAAACCAAATATTTCGTCATCGGTCTTTTCACACTTCACATTCACGCTAATACATACAATCTCAATGTACAACAAAAAAATAAACAAAAAACGAGATATCTACGAAGAACTATAAACGATAAAATAGCTCTGTTTATTAAAAACAAAAACCAAATATTCCGCCATAGGTCCTTTCATACTACACATTCACGCTACTACATACATTCAGTCTCAATATACAACACAAAAAGAAACAAAAAACGAGATATCTACGAAGAACTATAAACAATAAAATAGCCCTGTTTATTAAAAACAAAAATTAAATACTCCAAACATTCCGTCATCGGTCTTTCACACTTCACATTCACGCTAATACATACAATCTCAATGTACAACAAAAAAAGAAACAAAAAACGAGATATTTACCAAGTACCTAAACAATAAAATAGTTCTGTTTATTAAAAACAAAAAACAAATACTTCAAATATTCGGCCATAGGTCATTTCACACTACACATTCACGCTACTAGATACATTCAATCAAAATATACATAAAAAAAGAAACAAAAACGAGATATCTAGCAAGAACTACAAACAATAAAATAGTCCTGTTTATTAAAAAAAGAAAACAAATACTTCAAATATTCCGCCATCGGTCATTTCACACTACACATTCACGCTAATAGATACATTCAATCTCAATATACATCAAAAAAGAAACAAAAACGAGATATCTACCAAGAACTTCAAACAATAAAATAGCCCTGTTTATTAAAAACCAAAACCAAATACTTCAAATATTCCACCATCGGTCACTTCACACTACACATTCACGCTATTACATACATTCAATCTCAAAGAAATTGTCAAGTACATTTTATAACTGTATCAAACGTTAAAACCGGACTATTATTTCCATTTGAAAAAAGAGGTTAATTTTTGTCGAATAATATTCCTATTTTGTGTATTTTCTTAAAGAAATATTTTATAAATTTTAACGGTACATATGTCGTTCCGACCATTCCGACTAATATCAAAATACTAGGGGTCAACAAATCGATAAATTTAAATTAAAACGAAAATTCATATTAAAGGGTATCTAGATGTTCTAAAACAAAATTTCATATTAGTTTCAATAAAAAAGAAAAAAAATTGATACACAATTGATTTGAACAAGTAGAACGGCGAAATAAAAATATTTAAAAAAACGGAAAATTTCAAGTTTTAATTTTTTTGGCGAAAACGGCCTATTCACAAGAAGTGAACCATCCTGGTGTCCCCTTATTGGCCTATTAATTAACCTTAAATGTAATCCATAATATTTAGTGGTCTACTGGCCAGATTACTTCTTTCAATTACTTAATCTTTTTATGTAAGGCTTTGGTTGAAATGAAAAATTAAGTGTCATGAACGGAATTCGAGCCGAAGGTCTTGGGTTCGAATCCCGCTCGTGACACTGACTTTTTCATTTCAACCAAAACCTTACATAAAAAAGCTTAAATGTAATAGTAAAATTGATGCCAAAATAATTAAATACTAGTCTTGTAAAATTAAAAGATCCCGATGTTTATTTAATCTTATTTTGCCACGTATACCTCTGTTGCTTTCGTTGTTGTTATTTTAATGTTTCACTATACGCAATATTTGATAACGGGACCGGTAATAAATAATAAAATTATTCGATAATAAAACGAGTTTTAAACTGGGCGTCCTTTTCGGTCAACAACCTCTTTATTGGAGAATAAAATGCCTGCTGACTCTTCCTTAGAATGCTCTTCTCAGTGGTCAAGCAGGATTAGGACAAGAAACTACTAGCTAATGATGGATTTCCTTTTGACTCTGTTTGTCGCGATTTTTATATTTAGATACTCTAATCCTTCAGAAATTCAAGTTAGTATTTTAACAAAAATAATCGACCAGATCTTTTGTTAATGTGTGGTGTTTAGTGACCGTTAGCCAATGATTAATTGGAGATCGTGAAATGCGGTCTGGTGTGACGTAGGTTTTAGAAAAACATATTCTTTATCGTGCCACGTTTCAATCTTTATCGAGATCATCTTCAGGGTTCAAACTTTCAAAATGTTTATTTTGTTTTGTGAGGGCACTCTCAACACGACTCACAAGAATGACACATCTACACGGAAAACAAACACTTTCAGCACTGAAGATGATCTCATTAAAGATCGAAACGTTGGCACGATAAAGAAAATGTTTTTTTAAAACCTACGTCACACCAGATCGCAACTTACGATCTCTGAATAATCTTTTGCTAATCTACGAGATAATCTTTATTTTCAATATAAAAAACGTTTTTGTGCTAAGTAGTGCAAAAGATAAAAATTACCCATTATCTTTTTCATTCTGAATATTTAGCTTTAATCACTTCAATCCAACAAAAACACTCGAATTATTCATTATTTTTTATTAATTAAGAATTTGTCTATATAACTTTGGAAATTATCGTATTTTTATTGAAAGTGATTTAAAATTTAATAAAACTGACTTTTATTAATTCATTTGTCTAAGACCTTAATCACATCTGGCTTTTATTCCTATGCTGTTGTACTTATCGTTCATTAATGAAGATTCGCTACAATCTTCAACTATTTTTAGAGCTGTTGCGAGATGTGACGTAGTGGTTGAGACTGATAGGAGGACCCGGGGTTGGGTCTTGGCGGTTAATGAGTGTTTTATTATTACCTTTTATGTTGTAGAGTGATGTTAATGTATGTATAGTAGTGAGTAGTAAAAATACTGGTTTTTGATACGAGTGGTTTTTATTAAAATACTAAACCCGTAAACATGGCGCAGTCGAAGTGAACGGGGCAAAAACATTGTCTTGGTCGTGTGCGAGTTAACGAAAAAATAATTCTTCAAAATCATGGAGCAGGAGGAAAAACCAGGGAAAGGAAGCGAGGTGAAAAACCTCCAGAATATGCAGGTAAAATCTCCTGACAATTTTACGTTCAAGCCCACCGATTGGGCAGCTTGGAAAAGACGATTCCAACGTTATCGTGCGATAAGCGGTTTGGAAAATACGCCGGGAAGGCACCAAGTCAGGGCGCTGACACACGGAGCGGTTTTGACCGAAGCGTTTACCGCTTCGGTTTTGCTAGGTTGTGACACACGCAGCGGTATGATGTGCGTTTTGGCCGAAGCGGTTTTGTTTTCTCTGTTATTAAATGTATCCTATAGCAGTGCATATAAGCATTGAACGTCGCAAGGTTTTGCAGTTTGTTTAACAAGTCCTGTTTAATAAATATATTGTTCTGTAACTGTATGTAACTTCGTGTATTAGTTACAGCCTTACAGACTATTCCCCCATGTAGTACTTTTTTTTTTCTTTGATGAACATTCCATGGAACTGGCTACAAAGTGAAATCTCACAGTTATCTACACACTACGTCTCGTTCGGTTTNGGTCAAAACCGCTCCGTGTGTCATCGCCCTCAATGTCCTCATATATTGCATGGGCGAAAAGGCGGAAGAAATATTAGATTCATTTCATCTCGAGGAAGATCAAATCAGTTCTTACGAATTAGTCGTCAAACGGTTTGAAGATCACTTCATTCCAAAAAAGAATATAATATATGAACGTGTAAAATTCTTGCGTAGGAAACAAGGCTCGTCAGAACCTGCTGAGGACTTCATCACAGATCTTCACACGCTCTCGAGATCCTGTGAATGGGGCACTCTTGAAAACGAAATGCTGTTGATGGGTATTATCATTGGAATGAGAGACCAAAGTTTAAGCGAATACTGGTTAAAAATACTGGTTTTTGATACGAGTGGTTTTTATTAAAATAGTAAACCCGTAAACAAGAGCACAGTCGATAAACTGCATGCTGTATTTATTGACCTGCCAAGGCACATTTTATGATAGGTTTTAAAACTGTTGGATGCCTGAAAAATATATACATTTGCGTTTTGTATCGTTTACTGATTACTGATTTATGTAAGCTCAAATCTGTGTATACTGAGTTGGGCTTGCCACTTTTCACAGTACATCGGGAATTAACAACAAATTACCGGTAGCCACTGACAATCACCATCCCGAGTGTTGGCAGTTTGGTGTCAGACCAGAAACAAACAGAAAAACTACTAAGATGATCCATGATCAATCTGCTTGCTTGACACTGCATACTCCGGAGGCACATGTATAGACAAGAGTAAGTGTTGCCGGGCAGAATAAAAAATAAATAAACTGCGGAAAAAGTTCTCTGTTGGTATATGTATGCATTCATACACCTAGGAGAGGAAAATTTAAATTCTAAAAGATACATGAGACCTGATAACAAAACTTTAGTGTCCGGTAAAAAGACTTAAGCTTAATTAAATTATCTAGATATTGGTAGTATTGGTTGTAGTGCCTTGTCGTAAAGAGGCCTCCTTTTAGCATTAGCAAAATTAATCACCAGTAATGTCTGTATGACATCCGAAATACTGGCAGTAGAAATCCTGCAACTGACTAATTTATTAGATTCATGCTTATTTTCTTTTTCTCTAATAGGTCTAAGAAGAGTGTAAGATTTAGAAAAATATGAAATATTTTCCAGTAGGGGTTCATGCTATACAATTCACATGTCTGCACTTCATGCCAAGACTATTCATGGGTGAATGTCATGGAGTAGGTATTTTTTAGTTAGTTATAATGCAATAAACACACATTAATAATACATTAATGTTCTCATAGAAACAAAATGATTTGATTGGCCGTTTTCTATTTGATAGAACAGGATAGATAGACCAGGAAATGGCCAAATCAAAACAACATTTATTTGACTATGCACAAAATTCAATAATAATTTTTTCAAATTTAACTGCAAGTGTTAGATAAATTTTATAAAGCCAACTATTAATTTTTTAATATGGTCATAATCTATTATTTTTGTTTGCCTGTCCTCGCTGTGTTTATCTGTCATATACAGACGATGACTTCAAAAGTAATTGGACCCAACACTGAAGCTGGCGAGATGCTGAAAAGCTTCTGATAAAGCAACACAGCAAGTTTGGCAGTTCAAATTGATTTGTAATGACCTAATTACAGGTTAATCACCTTGCAGACCACACAGACAACTCTAACTATTAACATTTATTTAGGAATTTTATATATTTATAGGAGCTGACTTTACCTGGAGGTCTGCCTATGCTTGTCGTACATGGTGGTGCCGGAGATATCCCAACTTCAAGGATCCAGCCGAAATTAGACGGAGTGAAAAAATCCGCTCTAGCTGGGTATGAAGTATTGAAGAAAACAAATAATGTTTTCGATGCGATAGAAGCTGCCATTCATGTAATGGAGGACGATGAAGCGTTTAATGCTGGCAAGTCGTTACCATTTATTATTTGTAATTTTTTATATTTTTAAAAATTTTATGCAGGCAGAGGTTCGGTTTTGAACTTAGCAGGAGAGGTTGAAATGGAAGCTTTAATAATTGAAGGCAAACACTTCAATGCTGGTAATTAAAATGTCAATTTTAAATAAATATATTATTTTATTTTATTTTAGTTTCTTTTAATAGGTGCAGTCACACTTGTGAAAAACATTGCCCATCCAATTTCTTTAGCGAGGATGGTCTTGGAGAAAACACCACACAGATTTTTAGGAGGTGCAGGCTTGGAAGAATTTATTGTTAAGAACAAAATCCCTCGAGTGAACGATAGTTACCTTATTACGGAAACTGCAAAAAGGGCTCTTGAGAATTTTAAAAATATGGATTCTCAAGTTCCTACGAAGACTGAAATTGGCCCGTACGAATTTAATTTAATTCTCCATTGTTTTTATTTTTGTGCTTAATGTGTACTTTAGTGATGAAGGTGGTGTCGGTACTGTTGGATGTGTCGCTGTGGACACAAATGGCCATGTCGCTTCAGGAACTTCAACAGGAGGAATAACAGGAAAGTACAAAGGAAGGATAGGCGATACTCCTATAATTGGTGGGTAGATATTAATATCAAGTATTCTATTTAGGAAAACAAAAATATTTAAACGAAATTTTTGAAATTAGGCAGTGGGGGTTACAGTGATGATGATATCGGTGCTGTTTCAACCACCGGCCATGGTGAATCCATCATGCCATACAACCTTGCTCACAGGATTCTGACAGAAATAGCATCAGGTAGTGAAATTTGTTATATTTATATGATTATGTAATTTCAGATTTTTTTCTTTTTCTTTTAAAGGAAATTCAGCACAAAAAGCTACCCAGGTCTCATGTGAGAATATGACTAATCGTTTCAAGAATACAGCTGGGGCAATAACAGTAAGCAACAAAGGTGATGTTGGTGTTGGCTTCACGTCGAAGAGGATGGCATGGGCTTATGTTCATAATGGCGAGGTTCATTATGGTATCGACCATGGTCAACATCTAGTGGAAAAAATTTAAAAATAATACATTAACTTATTAACTATTGTAAAAATTGATTTCTGTGTTAAAAAAAGTACTGACAAAAAATTTGTTAATTCAACTATTTCAATAAACCGGGTTTCAATTGTAATAGAAAATTTGTTGCAAGATTTCTTCATGGGGTCTATCGGCTATGAACCTATCATTTGGCCATTTAGATTTCATATCAAACCAACAAGGATAGACAAAACAAAATGATCAGAAATGACTGAACTATAGCAACATCTATTCTTAACAAAGCAGTATTCTTCCCAAGATACTGGAGGTCGATTGGTTTATTGTTTTGAATGTACTCCAAAACTGACATTCTACCGCTGTTGAGATCAAACAATGACTTCAACAAGTTTGAAATGTTAATTTCAGTTGACACACTATAACGCAAAGACTTTCAGAAGCTACGTGCGAGAAGGCCACTGGCCCAAAACTTCTGACAGGCACAAAATAGCTCAGTTAAGTTTTACAAGAAATCACATCAATTGGTCTAAGCAAGATTGAACTAAAGTCTTGTTTCCAGTTTAGAGACAAGGTTTTGTTTGAGGTCTTCTGACAGCCAAGAGAGGGTTTGGAAAAGAACAGGAGTGCCATATATCCCTGCAACGTATTCGCTCCAGAGAAGCTATGGAAGTGGTGGTATGGTTTGGGCAGGCATTTCTATGGAAGGTCGCACAAACTTGATTTTTATTGAGGATTCATTAAAACAGCTGCGTGATATATTGAACATGTCTTATCAGAAGTTCCTTATATGCTATTAATTGGTGACGGTTTTTTTGCATGAGAAGGTAAGGCCCCTTACAGCTAGGATCTACTTGGAACGGGCTTCAATTTAATGTTTGGAGGTAGGTTGTTGGTTTTATGTCAGGATTACATGCTGGAATACCATTGAATCCCGTTCCAAGTAGTCACCAAGAATCTTAGCTGTGGCCTTGCATCGTCATGGTCAAAATCAAACCATAGGCAGTTAGTGGCATATAAGGAACAGCTTCTTCTGATAACACCTCTTCAATGTATCGCACAGCGGTTAGGGAACCCTCAATGAAGATGAAGTTTGTGCGACTTTCCATAGAAATGCCTGCTTAAACCATAATACCACCATGACCATAGCTTCTCCAGAGTGAAAATATTGCGGGAATCTTTGTCCTATGCTTCTCCAAACCATCTCTCTGTCAGAAGACCTCAAGCTAAACTTTGACTCATCCAAAAACAAGATTTTAGTACAATTGATGTAATTGAAAGATTTACAGTGTGGGGGTGTCGGTGATAACAATGGTTTAGGCGATGGTCACTGTAAGGTAAAGGTCCGGGGTTCAAATCCAGCGACCCTGCATTCGAGCTTGACATACTTACAAATGGGCTTTTTGTTCAAAAACACCGGCACCCTGAAGGTTGATATGACCTCTGCTGTTGCGAACCCTCATAAAAAATAAATTCTTTCTTTACAGTGTGTAAACTAACATTAATATTTCTAACTTGTTGAAGAGGTTGATTGATCTCAACAAAAATAAAATGATCATCCCTCTGAGATGTGACATGATGGTGTCCTGACCCGTGCCTTCTTGAGGACAGTTGTACTGGGAATGTTAAGCACCATGGCTTAAAATACGCTTGTCTTTTTCCATCTTCTAGCAATACTATGATTCTTGTAGAACCTGTATCACTTAAAGTCATTACTCAAACAAATTTGAAACTTAAAAATGGTACAACAAAAAAAAATCAATCATTAGAAAGAAGTTTTTTAGAAAAATCAAAAAAGACGAGATTATCTATTCAAAGAGAGACAAAAGACAAAATCCAACTGTAAACACAAGTGGGAGATCTGTGTTTTATTTACCTCTAACCCCTTAAAACAAACCAAATATTGTTGTAATTGTAATAGAGGATTTTATAAGAGATAATCAGAATATTAAAGGTAGACACTTTTTTGTATCTCAGTGTAGTACAATCTTTCGTTGGTTTCCAATATCGCTTTTCAACATCAGCAGTAGATCAATGTTTCCCACAGTTTGATCATCCCAGGTCTCCTTTCCCAAAGAGGTCCAATAGGTTTCAGTATATGTCCGCGTGTTTTGTCTCAAGCTGATACATTTCCTATGACCATCCCAGATTTCTTTATCCTAAGAATAGCGCTTCTGATATTTTCAGATGTCCGCGTGTTTTCTCACGAGCTAGTCCTTTTTGTGTTCCTGAGCAGCAACGACTTTTCCGCAATTTTATCATTCACGTTAATCTTGTTTGAAGAACTTCCGCCATTTTCAGCAGTTGTCTGCGTGTTTTCTCTCGAGATAGTACTTTCTTAGGTCACCGTCAGCAATAAATCAATATTTTCCTCAGAATGATCATCCTAGATATCGTTGTTCTAAGATTTGAGCTACCGCCATTTTCAATAGATCTGCGTGATATCTGTCAAGCTAGCAAATTTCTTATAATCATTCAAGATTTCCAGGTCAGAAAATCGCGCGCCCGCGATTTTAGATAGGGGAGATTTGCGTTTTTTTTAAGCTATACCTTTCTTAGGTCCCCAACAGCAGAAATAAATTAATATTTTTCGCAGTATGATCATCCTAGATAGATGATTCGCTCTTCCATTGTTTCTTAACAATGTCCGCGTGGTTCTTCTCGAACTAGTCTCTCTGTTAGGTTACTAACCTCACTTCTCAACATCAGCAGTGAATAAATATTTTCTACAGTTTGATTATCCCACATTTCGACCATTTCAGCTACCGCAATTTTCAATAGATGTCAGCGTGTTTTGTCTCAAGCTACCACCTTTCCTATATTAATTACAGATTTCCTTGTCTGAAAAATCGCGTGTCTTCCATTTTCGGTTGATGTCTACGTATTTTTTCTTCATGTAGTACTTTTCTTAGCTCCCAACATCAGCAATAAATCAATATTTTACGCAGTTTTATCATCAACGATAGCCTTGTCCGAAGATTCGCACTTCCGCCATTTTCAGTAGATGATCGTTTTTTTTTTCGCCAGTTCTTTTTTAAGTCTAAAGTTAAAAATTGGTCAACAGCTAGTTGATCAAGCAAAAACGCTTCTGAGCATAAATAACATCACTCTAAACTAAGAGTGTTTAGAAATGAATAACAACTTGGGAATTTTTGTGATACATAGTTCTATGCTAAATTTTTTTTTTAGCAGACTGATTTCTACGTATTAGCTCTACAGCAATTGGGTAAAAAACCTTGTGGAAAAATCTAAATTAAATTTAATCCTTTCCTAAAGGTTAGGACTAATTTATTAGCGTAATGAATGTGCTTTTAGTTAGAGTTTCAGCCAGGCTCTCTAATAAGGCGGCCAGAAACAGATATAGCAGTGATACGACGCTTTTAACGTCTCAATAGATCTTAGTCTTGCTTTATATCCTCTGTGTACCATACAATCGTGACCTATACTCACGTACACCTTCATTAACCACCTGGAAAAACCATTTCGACTCATACGAGTCAGATAAAACCAAACGTTATCGGCTTAATCTGTGAGCTTACCACGTTGAAAACAAGAAAAAAAATTACTTTTAGTTCATTGGGTCATAACATTATTTAGATTTCCTAATCTCTTAATTTTTCTTTCTCATCATCCTCATACAGAGGAAACAATTAGCTTGCAGTTCGTGCACGTACGAATTATAATTCATAAAGTTTACATTTTTCCTCGCTAAACAGAAGATACAATTAGCATGTTGATTACAAAATACAGAAGAAAATAACCTGAGGAAAACGTAACATAATAATTAAATTAGTATGATTTTGGAGTTTATAAGTAAACGTTAACATTTTACAACATTGTTTGCATTTGTTAGCTATTTGGGTTGTAGAATATTTTTAATTATAATAAAACAATAAACTTAACCTTAAGATTAACTGTTTTTTAAGTAATCCTCATAATTATTGCAGCTGATAGTTTTAACAACCTTGGAACATTCGTAAATAATGCTGCTACAGCAAAATTTAACGGAAGAGAAAGAAATTTACAAAAAAATTTACTGATTCATGCTAGCCTAAGTTTTCCCGATTCTTCAACGAGCTCAAGATGCTCCTGGGGAGGTGGTAGGTTTAGAGTTAGGGGATAAAATTGCGGCATCGTCCGCCTAAGGATGGGACTGCCAGGCCAGCAGTATAAATGGTGTATAGGATGGGACCAAGAATACTCCCTTGGGTGACGCCAGACCGGATCGGTCTTATTTCAGAGAACTCATTTTAGGATTGGTAATTTATAGTGGGTAAAAACTGCTTCAGTTTGAAGAGAACTCCCGGGTACCAGACCTGTCAAAAGTTCGGGACAGTTCTAAGAATGCCCCGTGATGTACTGTCACTATGATAGTAGCCATCAAAATTTATAAGTGTGTGTGTCTGTACATATTCGACTTTGCTCAGAGAATTCCAAACCTCTTCATCATGAAGTTCTGCACGCTCAATGGACAGAAAGATTAACCAAAAAATGTTTCGCGATGGGGTGGATGAAATCCCAACAGTCATTCTTTGGGGCCAACATGGGCATGTACAACGATGATCCCATGTGCAGATTATGTAATGAGGAGGAGGAAACAGCCACCCATGTCATCTTCGAATGCGAAGCAAAAGTTCAATGGAGATTTAACCTAACATACGAAAAAACTTAGGGAATGAAATTGTAGCAGGGACAGTCAATTACCTGATACTTCTAAGAAGAAGGATTAAGTCCATTGCACTGAACTAAGGAACTAGGAAGGTACAATAAGCCAGAAGGCTGCAGTGCCTGGGGAGCACAAAACCAGCTTCCTAGAATCGTCATTACCATACCATACCATTTATTAATGTGTGTGTGAATGTTTATCTGATTGGCAATAATGATGCCAAGATCTTTAACAATTTCACGTCTAATTATTAGCGAGTCTGATAGCGTAGTTAAATTTGATACGATATTTTGTTTTATGGAATGTCATAACTGGAAATTTGTCAGAATTTAAAAGAATATTATTAGTTGGACACCAATTATTATGCTTTACTGTGGCATGTTGAAGTTGTAAGAAGTCAGAAACAGGATTAATTTTTAAGAATATTTTTAAATCATCTGCACAAAGTAAGGTCATAACGAATGGAAGGGAATCAGCGTTTA